ATTTTAGCCTGGGCACAGCGAGTACAGCTAAAAAGTGGGTTAAGAGGAGGGCTCACAAGGATGAAAAGGACACTCACCCAGGGTCCATCACTACTTTCTTCACTTCCCCCCTGGCCTCACTACCCCTGGCCCTGGCCTCACTGTCCTTCCTGGCCTCAGCCTTAGGCACTGTTCAACCTGCAAATGTGAAGTCCAAGTTTTTGACTTCAGCTTCGGTTAAGAGGTTCACATGATGTGAACTATCACATGCATCCACCTGAGGTACACAACCATTGTCACCCAGTTACTGTGATCATTGAATGTCTGGCTCATCTGTGGGATCAACCTGCTCATTGTGCTCACATGGCCTTACAATCAATCCTCTAGACCCATGGAACCCCCTGCCTCCCCCCAGGACTCACAAGAAAGCTGCAGTATGGACAACAGAGGAGGAAGGTGTGTTACTGGATTTCTTGGCCTCTCATCTTTCACAGGCCAGTGATGGGAACTTTAAGAAGGCTACATGGAATGCCACAGCAGCCCACATGGCTCATAATTATCCACCAGGTCCAGATAATGGTGATAAGACAGCTGAATCATGTGAGCAGAAGTTCAAGGCAGTAAGTCATCATATCATTCTTTTTTTTTTGCCTTGCTAACAATTATCCAGCTTAAAAAATCCTACTATGCCATCACCAATCTTAAATCAGTGGCCTCTAGCTTTGCTTATGATGATGAGCATGGTGTGATGGTCTCACTGGACAATGCTAATCTTTGGGATTGGTATGTAAAGGTAATGTAGTTTTTTTCTTGTCAGATCATCCACTAACATCTAGTCAGGTGCACAAAGACTGCAAAGCTGTTTTGCAATTCCAGGTTCCCCCACTTCACCAGTGTAGAGCTCCTTCTCCCCTCACATGGCCAAGGTTGGTTTATCTACCAGCCACATGCCACTACCATGCCTTCTACAACCACAACCTCTGCCTTTGATACTCCTGCCTCTACTGCACCCCCTGCTGCTTTGACTATTCCTACCCCCCTCCCTCCCTCTCCCTCCTCAACATGATGCATGCTCTCAACACTCACCATTGCAAGGACACACAGTCCATGGATCCAAACTTCATCCCCCCTTCCACACCATCAAGTTTTTTGTTGCATGTGTCAGCTGGGTTGCTGTTGTCATCAGCTATCACCAGCATCAGTCGCAGAAAAAGGAAATCTGAGTCCATTGTGATGTCTGAAGGTGGATAGAAGTGCTCTTGGCCCCCATCAGCCAAAGCATGTGCTGAAGAAGATTGCAGTTCATTCATCACCACCATCACCTCCAGGCTCAATAACTTCACAGACACAATTGCTGCCCCATTGCCCCCACCACCCATTACCAATCCCCTCATCAACACTGCCATGGACTACATCAACAACATGCCACAGCTCTCAACAGACAATTGGATCAACATCAGTGACTACTTCCTCAGCATGTCTCTGGATGAAGTGAATATTTTCCTCAAGCATCAGGAGCCAGTGAAGCAGATTTGGGTGCAGTGTTGGCTGATGAAGTACTGGGATGGGCAGAGATAGGTGTTTGTTTTGTTTTGTTTTTTTTCTACAATATACAAATGTACCCCCCCCCCTGCATATCTTTTCAAGTCCCCCCCCTTTATACAAATATGTACATAATAAAATGTACATGACTATGACTCGCTTCCTTTTGACAATGGAAGTTATTTTTCTACATGAGTGTGAAACAATTGTAAGAACATATATTTGTACACCATGAAATCTGAATGTTCAGGCTCAGAGAAGGCCCCTAATTGTAAGCTGGTGCTGATAGTCAATCCACATCTCCTCTGCAATGTTGTCACACCTATTATCAGCCCTTCTCCTCTCTGCAGCATCTGCTGGTCCATCACCAAGGCTTCCAATACCATCACCCTCTCCTATGTCCATGGCAAGTTCAGGGTCAAAGAACTCTTCTGGATCATAGCACCATATGAAATTGTGGAGGGCACAAAGAGCAGCAGGTACTTGAGTTTGGGTGTGGATGCTATATTCAGGGGGAATTTGAAGAATCCTCCATCTGCATTTTATAACACCAAATATCTGTTCAATGGCATTTCTAAGTCCAGCATGGTGAAGATTGAATAACTCCTCTCAGTTTTGAGGTCTATAAAATAGAAGTTACAGGTACACTGAGCAGGATGGAATAGCAACTTACCTTAATCCAGCCTGATGCCATTCTTTCAGATGGTAATGAACACCCTGATATGGAACCAGAAGTGCATCACAGGTCCCAAACCCTGCATCTGCAAGAAGGTACTTCCCAGGTGGCATGTGCAAGTCATTCCTGTGTGCATCATGCCACATGGTCACATCTGCAGTTGACCCATCAAAGCCAGTGAGGGCATATGTGAAGAAGAAGTCAAAATCACAGATGAAGAGACAGTTTTGAGATAGGTAGCCCTTCTGGTTCCTCATGTAAGGCTGGTCCTCAGCAGCAGTGAATGCTTGAATATGAGTGCCATCAACTGCACCAATACAATCCTGGAAAATTGGAAGCATGGGTCACTAGTAATCATAGTTGATATGGGAGTGTTGTTGGTGGGGAATTGCACTTGGGACACATAGAATTGTCCCCCAGAAAAGAAAGCCAACATTGCTTTGAAATATCCAAAAAATTGTGAGAAAAATATCAGACAGTCCAATGAACTCCCTACCTAGTGATGGTCCCTGGTGAGTGTTGGAACCTCTCAGCAACATGCTGGGATGACAACCCAGTAACACAGGTGTAGAGGAATATCCCAAGTTGTTCCTCCACAGAAATTCCATTGCAAGAAGGCACAAAACCATGATGGGTGAGCACCTGCATCAGGTGATCAAAAACCCCATGGCTGATGCCAAGGCAAGTCCATATCCTGCCTGGATGACCATTCAGGAGCTCTAGCATCCACCCCTCACTAGTCAGGATTGAGGTATGGTAGGGGATTGGTTCTGAGTCAGAATGAAAAAGGAGGTCATAAAGGCATAGCACCTGGATCATCACTGCTACTACAAGTGCAGCAAGACAGCAATGACAATGGTACTGGAGCTGCTGTGCTTCAAGATCCATAGCAGAGTTGTTTGATCTGTTATCACAATGTTATCTATTGAACTACAAGTTGTGTTGTTGTCTTATATAATCATCACATGACTACATTACTGAAGCAGAAGCCTGAAACTTGGACTTCGCATTCACACAGGTGTGCACAGCTTATATAATCATCATGTGACTACATTGCTGAAGTTGAAGTTGAAAACTTCAACTTTGACTTTGGAGGGTGAATGGCACCTTACATTTTCTCTCAACCTCCTTTTCCTCCTTGGCCCTGCACCTCCTCTCCTCCTTGCATGCCCTCTCCTCTTTGGCCTCACACTCTGCCCTCTCAGCCTCAGCCTTCTCCCTCTCTGCTCTTTTGGCCTCAAGCCAAGCCTGCTCCTCCCACTGGGCTTGTTCAGCCACCTTTTGTCTCTTCCTCTCCCTTGCCTTCACCCTCATCACCTCCTCTTCATCATTGGTGTTGTACCTGATGTCATTGTCAGGGACTTGGGCCCAGTCAATGACAACTCAACCTTCATTGTTGTTATCAGTTGTGGCAATCAGTCTTGAGTTGGACATGATGGATGAAGTACAAAGGAAAGACACAAAGGGCTTAGCAAGCCACAGGTATCAATCTTTTTCAAACTCAGCCAAATTTCAGACTCAGCCTACTTCTTCTGCAGGGGTCTCATGGGTTCAACCCCTCAGAGGGGGATACTGTCATAGTCATGTCTCAACCCTGGCCAGACTCAGCCTCACACTCACTCAGTCCAGCCTTGGCCTTGCCAATTTCTTATCTCCAGATGGCCTAGTGCAATGAGCACTGCTTTGCAGTGCATGTCACTTTGGTTAATCTCTGCCCAGTCTTGTCCCCAGTTTGCCCTGTCCTGGTCTCCATTACCTTAGTCATACATTACTAATACTTGTCTTACCAATTGTCTTAGCAATCCTTGCAAGACTGGCATTACTGGTCTCCATACTATAGCTACTCCTAGTATATAAATTCTTAGATACTTGGCCTGTACTCCCTCAGTCTGAAATCAACTAAGTTTATCCTGTTAATTCTACCTTGGCCTTGGACTCAGACTGAGACCCACACAAGGGAATAGTGCTGTAACCTCAGTCAATAAGTCCAACCAGTCCACCCCTCTGTACCTTTGCCTTTCCTCCTGACTCCAACCCCTCAGCCTCATGCCCACTTCAGTCTCCAGTCTGGCCTTGAGCTGGACAACCCAAACTTGACAGCACTGCAGAAGAAACAGCTGCTAGCACAGCTTGACTTTACCTAACACTGTATGTTGGACTGCCAGACTGTACCTATGGTCCCAAAGCATCATGCTGAAGTGTCTAATACAACCAATGGTCATCAAGCAAGTACTGCTTTTCCCTGTTTTCATGGTTGCCACCATGTTGATACTTTTCCATTACTTTCTGTACTTGGTGAGTGGAACTAGAATTAAACATGGAACATTGGTATTGACCTTTCATCCAGCCAGGGACCTCCATCACATCTTATGAACCACTACTCTCACTTCTTGACATCATGAAGCAACTGCAAATCAGAAATTTGAAATTGGGGGTAGGTGCTGCAGTCTGTCAAATGGCTTTGCACATTGTAGAATACATATATTGGATGCTGCAGGACCAAGAACAGCAACCTCTGGCTACTCAGGATACTATAATACACCTTTGAAGCTTGTATTTTGATTCTTGCAATGACTTTGTTCTATGATTGTTGCTGATTGCAAGACATTGCTCTGCTTTGGCATTCTTTTTTTGTCATTGAGTGATATGTATACTATGTATCTGAGATTGATATTGGTGTTCAGGTAAGTATTAGAATGACAAGTGAGTGTGCCTACAGAATAAATGTACATAGATGGGAGTAGCCCAAGTACCAGCAAATGTATTTGTTCATAATCACACATTGCATAGCATAGTGCAAAAACTAGTTTTCAACATCACCAACACTACTTTCATCTTCAAGACTTTCAACCATTGTGACCCACTCAGGAATGTCAGCATCTCCCACATTTGCTTGCCCATGCTATAATTTGATGATGCATGGCATCCAGATCTGAATATCTGCCATTGGCACATTGCTGTAGCAGAGCCCTGGTAGCTAGTGAGTCCACATGGATGCACACAGCTCTGCTATCATATTAACAAAAACATGAAATCCACACATTAGCATTGATGAAATCTGCACCAGAGAGGGCAAAAGTAGGAGGGACCCACCACTGCACTCCAGACATGCAGTGTGTGCATCCTGGTACAGTGTTCACAGCAACAACACAGGCAGTTGTGCACCTAAGTGGATATTGGAAATCCTGTCGAAATGACAGAAGAACTGTTTCCAAGTGTTGGGTGTGATTTGCCCCTCCACACTCTATGGAAGTGACACATGGAGTCCCTGCATACTCCTGAGTGACTGAATAACCTTCATGTTTGTGACAATTTCTGAAAAGTGGTCTCCTGGAAGTTGATGCACCCAATTCCTGAAAACCACTTCCACAACAAGCTTTGATGCTCACCTGTGACCCAGCTGTACAGCAAGGCAGCCACAGTTGTGGACAATACCAAGACTACAGTATGACAAGCAAGGTGCAGTCAGCTGAATACCAGTCAACTCACTGATGCAACCAGGACTCAATTCCAGCACAGCATTTGTGATGACCACAAGATTGATGAGAGAAGGCATGTGTATAACTGCCAAGAAGACAGTACAGGCATTGATGGATGTCTGAATGTGCAGGGAAGACAGGTTGTGCAGTGTCACTGGGGTTATCCCATGGTCACTGGTTGTCATGACAATCACATCTTGAAGCTGAAGGTGTTGTAAGAGGGCAAAAGACTGGAGAACAAGGCATAGCTGTGAGAGAATCATGGCAAGAGTGACATCATGGATGTTCAACATACAGAGGGGTGTTGAAAAATGAGACTGGGAAGCTATCCCATTGTGGATGGCATCCCAGCTAAACACACATCTTTCTAAGAACAACAATTTGAGATGAGGCATTGAAGTCTTGAGTAGCCTATCAGGAACATTCAATAGATGCTCCTGAATTGGACAAGAAATGTTGTGGATCGACAGGAGGTGAAGCAAGGGAGCACTGTCATCTGTGTTAATGGACTCAAGAATTTCCTCAATTTCCCCACTGTGTCCCTCAAGGTTGAGGATAGCACATCTGGAGAAGTGATTGCCAGTGACAAGACTGGCATTCAGTGTAATGTTCTGACCATAGTCTTCAGTGAAATCATGCTGATTCATGTAAATCCACAGTGGTACCTCCTTGGTTTGCATTAAGACTTCACAGGACCATTTTCAAGGATCTGTGAAATTGAGGGCATTGCACCAAAGCAGTGGATCCTCTAGGATGATGGCCTGCCATTTCCAACAGACTTGGCTCAGGACCATTGGGAAAGTGCTACTCTAATTCCATGGTGTGCTTGAAGATCAAGAGAAGAACATCTTGTGGGAGACATGTGGCAATCACAAATGTGTTGCATTGATGGCTCACTTGGAGCAATGCAAGCCTCAGGAACATATGGATATAGTCCAGTTTAACTGGGTTCACTGACAAGATCACTTCCAGGAATGCATCTGGCAGTGTCATGAGTTGCTCTTCATGCAGTTGAATATTGTCAACAGAATTAGTCATCATGGACATGTCTAATCAATGATGAGATTCCAGTCACAATGGCTTTTTATCACTTACAGTGAACAGAGTTAGGATAAGGAGGAGCAAATGGCTGATGGATCAAGAGGTGAGGTCAAGTAGAAGAGTTCCTGAATGCCTTTCATGGTTGGAGGACAAAGGAGCAGACTTGCCCATTTTGTTGCTTGATTTCTTCAGTCAGAGAAGGCAATGGTGTGTGAGGTGAGACTCACCCAACCAGCACAATACCCCCAGAGTACTGTCAGTCAGTTCAGCTTCATGATAGGTGGTAGTCCATCTTTCCCTGACACCCAAATTCAGGGGCTACACTGAAGATAGTGAGCACTTCACTTGACTGGTGTGACTAAGCACCTTTGTCAGTGTTACATTTGTGCTTTGTTCATCCAGATTCTATAAGGCTTCACAGTGTCATGAATGAACTGAAAATCCTTCCTTTTTGTTTCTTATTCCCCTCTAATCATCCAAACTCTCATGGGAGTTGACCAAGATTGTCATGGCATTAAGATGAACACCTACTGACCATACCAATATGTGGAGAGAGACATAGGTATCCTTGACTCATGCATAAGCCAATACCTGAATTTCTGTGTCCCAGATAATACCCATTCACCACCAATCATTTCCATTACATCAACCTTTACTTGCCATGCACACCCTGTGTACAAGAGAGGACTTGGATTTTGATGTGAGTGACATACAGTAATTACTATACACCTTGCTCTTCCCTCAACTTTGACAGGTGATTCTCATCCACCACCAGGTATTTCTATTTCCAGACAATGCAACCAATGACAATGAAGGTACCCCTCATCCTGCAACTATCAAGTCCTATAGGACCAGAGTACCAGGAGGTCCTAGTTCTGAGAGTGAAATGATCCAAAATGTCAAAGGCACTGTAGAAAGGTATGTGATCATGTGATCATGGGGCTTGTCTGAAACTAATTAAACTTTCCTCAAGTACTCTGAGGCACAGCATTATGGTGCCAGAGCACCAGGAACACAAAATTCACAACCTAAATGTCATCATTAGTTGTTTTATCTCATCAGGCAATGCTCCCCTCAAGTGCCCTCCTGTGCATTCCCAAGCAGTCCATGGAGACCTTTACATTCACCACTATGAGAATCAGGTCCAGATTGTAGAAATATCTGTAGGCTACCTCAGTAGTGAACAAACTACTGAGGGAATACTAGTAGAAAATACTACAAGTATATACCCTTTTTGTGCTTATGTAAGCACACTAGCATCGCACCTAAGTACCAACAAACAGTGGCACTTTATGTTCCAACACAGATATGGTTAAGAGACAGTGACCAATGGCTACCAGATATTAAGGACAGATGTCACCACCCAACATTACCAGAGTACCATCTGTATGTGGCTAAGGGCATGGAGCCTACTTGGGTTACCAGGAAGACAAGATCAACATACAAAGAAAGGCTAAAGAATCACATTCAGCAGCAAGAGGATGGTAAATATATGCATGAGTTGCTGTTCAAGCACCTTTTCTAACCCATGCACACTCTAGTGCCCAATAATCATGAAGGGGCAGTTGCAATGAGCCTTTAGTCAGGTCTGGAGATGGTTGAGGTAGTAGCAACCAGTAGTGTGGGGTGTGTGCATAGGGCAGAAATTATTTATAAGATATCCAATGATAATAACCAAGTGTTCTTGCTTTGGTGGATAATTTAGTGTGATTCATGATGATTCTTGCTTGTATCCAAGTTGATGATAAGCCACAAATCAGATGTGGGCATGACTATGAGATGAGGATGACCCATGCACCTATCCCCCCAGAACTCACAAATGCTGCTGCAATTATTGGTTTCAGACATACCAACATGCTGCAAATTTCTACCAATCTTGCCATCCTTTCACAAAGCATATGCTTCAGAATGGGCAATGACAAAATAAGCCCAATCGCTTGGGATTGTGACTTGCCAAAAACCAACACTGTTTGGCACATCACAACAGTACTCCCATTTGAGCACAACAGTCATCATGGAAGCTTGTGAGACTTAGTTATGATGGCATTGTTTCCACTAGCCAAGGACATGACATGAGGGAGATATGGATTTCACTTTGCAACAGTTTATATATGTAGTGATGCATTGATTGTGCTAGTTAAGGATTTAAGGATTGGATGCTATGTGAATGATGGAAGCATGAGCATGTTGCAATGAGGAGTGTGTAATACAACCATTACATACCACATGAGGGGAACTGCCAAACCCCCAGGTCCACTTCCAGCCAGCCCCCATCTTTCAGGCTCAACAAGTAAGGTATTGGGTTGTTATCCAACTTTGATTGTCACTGGCCACATAGAATTATCTGGTGCCTTACATGAGCCACTCACACACCTGAATTTGTGACTGTCAGTGGAGGTGCCAGGAATTGCCATGTGTTTTGATAAGACCTGCATGCACCACACCAGGGCTATTGTAAGGGCAAGGGGTGATTGCATGGTTGGACATCTTGGTGAGACCAATTGTGATCATTAATGCAGGTAAGGTATCAGCATCATGCTGGGAAGCTTCCCCCAGGGCTTCTGACATGGCTATCTGCACAGGATAACCTTCAATGAAGGTGTATTCAGTTATGCCAAGAATAGATTTTGATGTAATCACCATCTGGAGCTGAATAGTATTGAAAGCTATTGTTGCAAAGGAGTAATGACTGAGAGGGTCATTGTTGGTTGGACACAATGGATTGCTTACCAAATCACTGGAGTTAGGAAATCTACAAAGCTGACATCCTGTCTTACAATGCCCCAGCAAGAAAATACAAAGAACACACCATGCATGATATTGTTAAATGGCAGCAGTAAAGTGTAGAGGCACTAACAAGTGTAAGTCAGATTGAGTAGAGAAGCAAATAACTCCTCACCTCTGATGGAAGTGAGGCACAAAGCTAGCCTTTGGTAGTTGTCTTGGAAGAGTCATCAGAGTGGCTGATAAGAGCTGATCATTACATTCTATCAAAACAATTGTCAAGGTAGCAGAATTCACCATTGGGAAGGAAGGTGGGGTGTGAGGGTGCTGGTGACCATCTCAACTGACCCACTGGCCAGAGGTCGAGATAGAATGAGTGGGCAAATGTTCAATTCCATGGGTATTGATCATGATCCAACTTCTGCTGAGCTGGAAATGCTGTTATTGTCTCTTGAAAGAGCAGAAGAGTGATACCTTAGAATGCTTGTGCCCAATGGGTTGAAGTAGGTGATGGGAGAATCGTGGTGATTGTCCTAGGATTGGCCACAAAATCATATCGCCTCTATAGGGCAGGTTTGCAGACTGGTTTTACTGTCTTGCTATGCAACTACTCTCCTAATGATTGATATTACAAGAGTAGTAAATATTTCAGATACCTAAGTTGAATGAAATATGTTGAGTAAGGTATGGTGATAAGGGTGCCACCTGTCATGTACTGAAATTACCACCAGCTACCCCAGGTGTTGCTGAAGGTCCTCCAGTGTTAGCTGGGGACAAGGTTAGCTAATGCCCAATTCTACATCAACCACTTGCCATACCTGTGGGCTCATTCTCACCAGTATCAAAGTCATACTCCTTTTCTTGCACCCTGAGCAGTTTCCTTGAGCATGGATGCAGTGAGGACAGCCAAGTGGCATCATAGCAATTCACAGGAAGCCTGGGAGGAAGTGGTGGCAGCATCATTGAATTTGTCTGAATGTGGGCAGTTTTGGAGTTGTGTACCTGCTCTCTTACACTTTCCAATTGCAATGGAAAGGAACTCCACTATTGCTAAATCTGCTTCCCACATGAGCAGAGCAAGTTTTTGGCTGTGCCAGCAAGGATAGACACACAGGGAATTTATTGTCCTTCTTGCTTCATCCTCAGACTTGTCAGAGCTTATACCCTGAGTCCCAATGTGCTTGACTAACAGCAAATGCTTCTGCAGGCTAGTATGTTCTGCCATGGCATCAAGGCACAACTTTAACAACTCAAATTGACTAAGGTGAGAGAGAAGCATTGATAACATAGTGCCTACTCACCTGAACTTTCCATGCAGTATGGGAAGACTTCTGCAATCTCACCTTCATGTCCTCCCTGGCCTTCACCAGATTTTTGCTTGGGGCAATGATGAAGTCATTGTAACATGATCTGATGTAAGAAAAATGCACCTTACAAGCCCCATAGATGATGTCAAAATTACAATACTGTTCAGGGATGGTCTGCAAAGAGTACCAACCATGGTTATTGATCTTATCCAGGAAATCCTCAGCAAAGACAGTAAAGGCTTTGTGATTATATGGTGTGTCCTTCATGCAAGCACAGTCTAGAATAAAATTGGTTGGGGTTACCCTGAGGCAACCAGGTGTGTCCAGTTCATTTGCTTCCACCTCCTCCTTGGTAAGTGAACATTTGATAGTGTTCAGGTACCTGTGGTCAGTAATCTTGAGCAAGCAGAGGGCATGGAGCCAAATGCAGGTCTTGGAAGTAACACTGTCAACAATAGATAAAGGGTGGAGATGCTGTTCACACATACCATGAAGTATTTGTGCTCTTCTATATCACTTTGCATGAGTGCTTCAGATGCTAGGTCTGAAGGAATGAAGTTTTGGGGCTTCTTTGGATGCCTAGTCTGTTTCAAAGGAAATTCATCTACACTTTGCATCTCAACATCTGTAGCCATGTTTGCATCAACTCATGAAGCTTTCAGTTCCTCCTGGATGTCAGAGATTCCTTCCATGATCTTCATATTGGATAAAGCTTGTGACTGCTCAAATGAGGCAAGCATAGAGTTCAACAACTTGGAGAAATAAGGCAATAAGTGTGCAAGGTTTTCACTGCCAGACTGTGAATCAGCAGTGGTGGGACCATGAGCATTGCCAGGAATGGACTGGACTGAAGGTCCTGGCTGAAATGCAGCAGTGAACTGTGGAGGAGGGGTGGCAAGAGCATCTGGTGCCAACTGTCAAGGTTGAGATGGGGTGGAAGTCGAAGGCCACTGGGGTAGATTGAAGTTTGGTGCATGGAACTCAGTCTGAGGTAGGCTCCAATAACTCTGATGTCCATCTGGGGTAGCAACCCCTTCACCCTGAATGGTAGAGGGAACCTTTGATTCTATTTCAGGGATATCACTAAATTCCTGGAGGTGCATACCTGACTAGTAGATGGGGTTTCTCAACCATAGGAATCAAGTAAGAGCTGAAGACACCCTGGTAGTATGCAGGGAGCACCACTACAAGAAGAAGAAAGCATACTTGTATTGACATCTGGCTAAGAGAGTGACTGGATGCCTGAGGAGTTGAGCATTCATCATGCCCAACAACACTGTTGTCAGAGGAAAGTGGTGGTCCTTGGATCACCAGTGTCAGGTCTCATGAGGATACAGGAGTTCAAAAATGGTCCAATACTGGAATTTCTTCTCATGACTGTGCTTGTGAGGAGGATGTTTGGGCAGAGAATGATACTGCATTGACATTGTTACAAGGCTGAATCTCTTGGTCAATTTCCATTATTACATTGTTGTCAGACAGAGCTCTGAACCTGTGGATCACCAAACATCACATGGTTGAGAGTATTGAGAAGGATTGCTTGTGACATTGCTGATGCTTGTTCAGTGTTGTGAGTGGTCTGTGCCACCTGTGGAGCATTAGAATTACTGGGTGTCCTAGACAACTTGGGACCATGATGACCTTGCTCCTAATCATTTCCAGAGTGCTGTTTATTGCCAATTGTCATGAAGGGAACATGACAGTATCCACCAATTCTGTGCCATTTTTTATAGCTACTCCTGAGCAGAGCAATTCAGTGACCATTTGACAAAGCTTAGATCTAGGATAGATCAAGAGAACAAAGGTCAGGTTTACCTTGAGTAGGATTGCTACTGCCATCACCAAGTCATGTGAACTGCACACCAGGACTAGGATCTGGTACTGACAGCAGGTTGCCATTGTGCTTGAAAAGTATCAGCATTGCAAATCAGCAATTCCTTGGTAGTATGACTTTCTTATGATTGTTGGAGAAATCAGAGTAGAAGCCTGACACTCCACATTTCCTTTGGTCATGAATACATGTGACATATTCCCATGTGTTCACTGCCTTTCCTCAAAAGACAAAGACTTCATGCTGCACCCATCATGACAAGCATCAGAAAAAAGAAAAGAAGACACATCAACTCATCACAATGACAGGCCCATGGGTAAGTCCTTTGTCCTTACATGATAATTGATTGTGACACCTGATTATACCAAAGAGCAAAAAAGTCTACAGGTCACATATAGCCTGTGAAACATCAACACATAACAACCCAGGAAGTGGTGCATACCCCATACATAGAATACAGCAATGCTGGTGTGTGCTAGGTATCATCAATTTTGCCCACCTTATGATTCTATACTGATACAGTATCCTTTACAGATGCTGGCTTCAAACTCCTGCATCTCAAGTGATGATCTCGGAGGTCCTTAGACTAGAACTACATTTCTTACTGGGGCTTTCTTGGGTGTGATCAGTGGGTGTATGGTTGGTACAGTCCATGACAGAACAAACATTGGAGAAATTTCCAAATCATCACATTTATGTCTTGTCAACTAAGCCATCAACCCTCAATCTTATCACAGCATGTGGGGCACAAGAATGCCTTGCACCATGTCCTTTATTGCTAATATTTAAAGGTCCACCTGTCTTAAGGTTTTGTTTGCCAATGTCTCTCCTCTCCCCAGCAAGCAGGATGCTCCAACAAGTTACATTCAAGATTATGCTGCAAAATGAGAATGGCAATACTACTGCAGTAAGTTAGGTTCTTGTTCACCTACCTTTTTTGAAGCTAATAGCACATAGGACTCACCCATTAGGTGGGCAGTTGCATCTCTCATGTTCTTTGTCTCTCAACTGATTTTGATGCTCAGCCATGCCAGAGGAGTGATAAAGGATGTGGTACAAGGCATTCTTGTGCCCCATGTGCTGTGATAAGATTGAAGGTTGATAGCTTAGCTGACAAGACATAAACATGATGATTCAGAAATTCCTCTGACATTTGTTCTGTCATGTTTGGGCCCTTGACCATTCATCATGCTCAACAACACTGTCATCAGAGGAAAGTGGTGGTCTTTGGATGACCAGTGTTGGTTCTCATGAGGATACAGGAGTTTGAAAATGTTCCAATACTGGAATTTCTTCTTGTGACTGTACTTGTGAGGAGGATGTTCAGGAAGAGAAAGATACTGTATTGATATTGTTATGAGACTGAATCTCTCAGTCAATTTCCATTATTACATCATTGTCAGACAGAACTCCAAACCTGTGGATCACCAAACATTATGCCATTGAGAGTATCAAGAAGGGTTATTTGTGACATCACTGCTGTTCATTCAGCATTGTGAGTGGTCTGTGCCACCTGTGGAGCAGTAGAACTACTTTCAGCAACCATCCAACAAAGCTTAGATCTAGGATAGATCAAGAGGACAAAGGTCAGGTTTACCTTAAGTAAAATTGCTACTGCCATTGCCAATTCATGTGAGTTGCACACCAAGACTGGGATCTGGTACTGACAGCAGGTTGCCATTGTCCTCAAAAAGTATTGTGGGGTCAGACTACTAGAGAGAAGCAAATCAGCTACTGAGCTGATTGCACTGCAGGCACACTGAAGAAAAGCCCCAAGCATGAGTTGGAAAATAGCCTTGTAAATATGTGACCACAGTGGACAGAGAACAAGGCATCCTGAATACAATGCAGATGCACCACATTTGTGAAAGGAATTTCAGATCTAGTGACCTGTTTAGTGCCATGTACTGCAGGAAAATGCATGATGCATTAGGCCTACCTTAGACCAGAAAAGATACACTTGAAATATAGAAATGAAGTGATGAATCAGATGAGCCATATCTTGAGAGGAACTTCATCAATCCAAGATGAGCAGGAGCACTTATTATGTGCTTGAAACATGAAGTACTTGTCCTGTGGCAGGGAAAAGGGCCTGCCACTGCAGCTTCAATGGCTCATCACAACTGCTATTTGAGAAATTTGTTGAGTCTCAGGGAATCCCCTTAACTACAGCCTGAATCTCTCATACTTTTTGTTAGAAAGAGCCACCAAGTCATTGACCTATTGTCATATTCTCTCTACACTTTAGATTTCTTAAATCACCACTCAATTTTTACATCTGTAGCAAATTCCCAGCTCAATTTAGAAGCAGTTCCCCAGGGCATTTGCCTGCTGTGTGGTGCCCTTCTTTGATATGGACATTGTTGTAGCCTGATCTTACATCCATTTTAGTAAAGATAGATGCTCCCTTAAGTTTGTTGATAAGATCCAAGATTAGGGGAAGGGGGTATGCATCCTTCACAGTATTCTTGTTCAGATATCAGTAATCTTGGCATGGACAGAGGCAGCCATCTTTCTCTCTGACAAAGAAGAATGGAGTGGCTTGGGAGGATTTCAAGGGTGTATCTTCCCTTCTCTAGAGGTTTTCTTCAATAAATTTCTCTGCAGACTCCCTTTCAGAGGGGGAGAGCAGGTATGCTTTAGCCACCTTGGGGGCAAAGTCCTCAACAAGGGTTATGGCATGATCATAGGGTTGAGATGGAGGTAGTACTCCATTGGAAGGTTTCTCAAAGACTGAAGCAAATGTTTGGTAGTCCTCAGGGAGGACTGCCTTCAGTTTCTTCTTTGCTTCTTCTTGAGCCAACTCAGTGGTGGTAGTGTTGATGACTTTTCAAGTGCTTTCTGATGCATAAAGGGAGATGGGAATTTGCATAGTATGATCTGGGGTAGAAGATACTAGTACAGGAGCAACAGAAATGGAGCTGTCCTTGCTGGGAACATCCAGTGTCAATGCAGAGTTCCCTTCTAAAAATCCTTTCCTAGGGCCCTAGCAATATTTACTAAGGTGATGGAGGGTCCAGCAACTTTCTCTTCATTGTCACTTTTTTCTTCTTCCACAATCTTTCTGATCTTCTTGACCTTCTTCTGGGGGGTCTTCCCTTTGTTTCCTCATTTTACCTTATGTTTGCCCCATGTTCTCTCCATTGGACTCATTTTCCTTTTTGTGGCCATCTTCTCTCTGATCCAATGCCCCTCTATTTCCACCACTAGCATTAACCCCTCATAACATGCTTAGGACATGTGTCATCATTGTTCAACCAATGGCATAGTTGACTCATTACATGCAGATGCCTCATGGTCCATCTCCCTTGTAGTATTAGACTGCTGTCTCAAGTCCTGGAACCCCAGACTTGAACTGCTCAATCATTGCAGTGTTCCTCAGAACTTCACCCTCAGTGTCCCTAATCCAGACCACTCTTATTGGCATTTCCAAATCCTTTGTTGTTTACAAAGGTTACTGTAGCTGTTGCTCAGTAGAAACCACAGTCTGCAACTGAGCTCACCTTACACTTCGACTTCAGTCTCAGCATAAAAAAAGCTCAAGTCTTCACAGCCTATTGGCCAAAGGTCACTGTTCAGTGAACCACCACAAACCCCTGAAATGACTGACATTGGGTGCCATTGTGACCCACATGAGAAGAATTGTCATCTGATGAGGAACAGGAGAGCACTGTCACAGACACCTCCAATGAACCCAAACAACTGGATAGAGGCTTTACCCTGGTATCCTCTTGAACCTCTTCAACAAGTCCCTTGCTTTGCTTGGTACTCCCATCCCACCAGTACCTGTCCCCACCACACTTCCTACACTCCTGCCCCCACCCCAGAATATGTTGTCTGGTTCATCATCAAAGGCAATAACTGGCACTACTGCAATCAAAGCCACTGAATTGAAGATTGGTACTCCATCCAATTTTGACAGTGACAAAAAGAACACCATGAGCTGGCTATTTTCAGTCCAGACCTACAGTGGCTCAAAAAACTGACCACTTGTTTGGACATTTTTCACTAAAGTCAATAATCCCCCATACCCCCTAACCTAGGCCCTAACCTCTAAGTGTATGAAACAAAGCCCTTACCCTTGGCTCTCTATTGGTGCAGGGGTCAAGGGTTTTGGATAAGGTTTGATCAAGTGGCAGCCATTTCAAAATGATGACTCATGCAGTCAGTTTTTTGACTTTATATCAATCTAAATATCTAGTACTTGGTATGACCTCCTTTGGCCTTAATAACTGCTTCAATCCTTCTAGGCATGTATTGCATTGTTTTGACTGAACCTTAGTGTGGTGGAAAGCTTAGAGACACCCCTTTCCAATGGTGTAGGTATCATGATTATCTGTGCAGAATAGCCTGAGCTACATCAGCAGCAAGTCACACCTCACAAACATTGCAATGCTTTTGTCCCTCACTGTATACTGATGGCCTGAGATAAGAACTATAAAATTAACAAGTGCCATCACTGCATCACTTACCCAGTCAATTAATGCTTGCACATATGCTGTCTTGCCAATGGTTTGATCACTTTTGGTCAGCTGAACCAAAGGATTGTTACTAATGGTGGGGATTGGAGGTGTAATGTTGTTGGCATTTGTGAGCACAACAGTGTAGCCTCTCCTCAGGCAAGTCAGTGCCATTATTGAACCAATCTTGATGGCATTAATACCAGCATTCAGCTGTCTTTGTTGTTCCTCAGGCATGTGGAGTTGTGTATGAGGATTTTTGGTGGGCTTGGAATCAGTGCTAAGGCCCAGAACATTGTGGCAATGATGTTGGAGATCACTGATGAAGAAATTATGCATACAATCCACAACTACAAACCAGGTTGGGTTCCAGTATGGCAGGCAAAGTAATTCTGTCCACCTGATGCCAAATGTAGTGTATATTTACTGTCAGATGCCCTCTGTGGCTGCATTCTTCCACAATGTGGCAATTGCAACATGCTCCTGCCAGGTATGATGCCTCCATGACAAAACATCAACATTGGCAGTGTTCTAGCCATCCTGTAGGCAGAACACACAATACTTGCCTGGGTGTGAGCCAAGACCAGCAAATCCTGCAGTCTTGCATGCTGCCAACATATCACAGACAAGTGGTACAACTGCACAGCACACAAGCCACCCCAGTGGGTGGAGGGCTGTGTGAGTTAGTTGTAGGCCAGGTGACCAGCCCTTAAGCAAATCATCAACAAGAGGGGAGAGAACATGGTTGATTTGATCATGGGAAGGTTCTTTGGGGCCAGGGATGATGCCAGTGAGGTAAACATTTTCAATGGAGTAATGCAAGCGGACTGGGAGGTTGTTGCAAATCATGTAGATGATGCCAAATGAAACATGTTTGCCACTTTGTTTGTTTCCAAAGGGGTTGAACCAGTTGATGAATAAACTGAACCCCAGTCATGCCTTGTTGTGCAAGTTGTGGGAACCAAAGAAAGGGCAGTTATTGGGACCTTTGAACTCTCAAAACATGCTACCATCCCAGATGTCAAATAGTACATCTGGCCAGTGTATGGAAGGGGCATGGTGCAAACTTTTCATGGTATCCACTCTCGAGGGAAAGCAAGCAATCCATGATGGCAATGACTGATACTAAAATTGATGGAAGGGATCAAAATGTCCATTTTCTCCTGGGCAGGAGAAGAGCTGGGCCCCATATGGGTGACTAGTGGGCATTGCATGGTGACTGCACTTTAGTGGTACATCCACATATTCATTGTTCCACTGCTTGGGGAACAGACCATAGAGACTGAAGCACACTGAGCAACAAATATACTGATGTAATTCTGGATCCACACAAAGGACATTCATGGCTGTTCAAATATCAGTAGGCCATGCAGAACCAAGGCTTTGTATTTGCTCTTGTTCCCTATTCTGCCCACCTGATGAGTTGAAGGCATTGGCAACCACCCTACCCAGTGCTGAGATAACTATGGCATGGAATACAGCAAGGAGAAAGTTCAAATGCTGTCTTGATAACCCAGAAAGTAGGTGTAAAGTACTTGCTGCAAGAATGCTTAATAACAGAGGAACTGTGACATTGGCCAAAAAATTGAAAACAGAATATAGGTGATCTAATTTGAAACAATGATCAGCATACATCCCAGTCTATAGGAACATGTACATACTTGATTTGACAATAACTGGAAATTCAAGTGCTCCCATATTGTGGATTTTCCTGCCTCTTTGGTGGAGCCATTCATACCCCACCATTCAGTTGAGATAAACCTGGTGCTCACAGATTTCAGCCATAAGTCTCTCCTTTTCCACCTGCACATCTGCATCCTCATTGCTCAGGACAGCCTTCACAAGATCCAATAGCTTCCCCACTAGCTGCTGATGAATGACAAAATGCCATGAAGCAGACACATCAATTCCAGGTGGGGCATCATCCTCATGATCTCCAGGAGGTACTGGAAGGAATATGAGACTTCCTGAGTTGGTAGTAGATAGGGTAGATATGGCAGAATTAAAGAGAGTGTGATAGTGACCCAGGGATTCCAATGGAGCTAGAGCATGGTCTGAACCTCATGCTAGGCAGCAGTAGGAACATCACATTTACTTACTGTGTGTGTAACCAGGAGAAGGTACTACCTGCAGCAAGAGCCTAGACACAGGCATAGAAACTGCTGAAGCATCCCATGACAGAACAGAGACTGAGGTGTGCATCGATCCACCCAATGAAACTGTAGTAAAACTCCAGCTTGCCATGATCCTTATTAGTTACAACAAGACTCACCTGGTTGGCTTACTGCCACTTGCAGATTCCCAGCCTCACTGTGGAGAATCCAAGATGATACAATGGAGTCATCAGTCCCCATCCTGAAGCTGGAATTGGCCACAAGCATGTCTAGTTGCATCTAGCCTGTCTGTCTGGCCACTTTCCATATCTTATCATCTCATCAGTGTTGATGGACAGTTGACACCAGGAGTAGACAGCCAGGCTTGGGCACCTGTGTCATTGCATTTGGGTCTAGGGACTTGACACATTGGTAGACTTCACATGTGCAGCATTGTTTAACTGCAGGTGCCATTAAGCTGGGTGGAGTTGCAGCTTATGTATGTAGAGATCTTGCTTTGCAATTTACAAGTTAGCTTATGAAGTCATTGATGGTTCAGTATGCACAGGTCAGACTCATCCACTGTGATCATGTTGATTATGTATTATTGGTTTCCAAATCACAACCACCAACTGCAAAATTACAAAAACTATAGAGGGATGTAATGTCATGAAGACCAAGAATTAGTACAAAGCAAAACAAAGCAACAGGACTGATGACAACATGATGCATCCATTACTCTACAACCAGATTCTCCATGTGGTTCATTACTTCTGTGGTTGGACTGATGATATGGTTGGTGAAATGCCAATGCAACAGTAGTGAACAAGTGAACACATACCTAGGGCATGGCATCCCAGCCAGCACCTGCCTGGGGACCCTCCACTGCAAGAAGGCATCAAGCAATGTTGCGTCATCAAAAGCATATTTGCAGGGGTGAACACAGTACTTGTGGCAGTTCACAGTGTACTTGAAGCACCAAAACATCACACTGCTGCTCTAAAGTGTCTCAGTCAATTTGACCTAACAGCAGGTACAATAAACATACATTGTCATCCCATCCAAGGGGAAGAGCACCTTGTGCATGCTCAACTTGGTTTTGGCAGAGAACAGCCAAGGTTGACAAAAGGTGACTTGATTAGAAACCATGCTATTGGGAGCCATAAGTAATGAGCACTGTCAGATAGAATTTAGATTCCCATGATAATCCCCCATGTGCTGCAGAGCTAAGACAACAATGGATGCAGGGGCTGGCAGGGAGATGGGAACAGCAGTAGAGGCCCACAACATGGTGACAAATGCATGCTCAGTTGCATAGAGAATATTTACACTGAGTATGCTCAAATGAGACACATTTCATAAGTTGAACTTTCTTATACACTCACCCACTTGAGTTCAAAATGAGACCAGCAGTAGGAGCAGAGTTGGAGTCCATTTGAGATAGAGAGTGAGTTAGAGCAAGGCTTGTCACAGGAAATTGTTGGGAGTGAAACTGCTGTGGGTGGGCCTTTAATATGTGAGATGCACCACATTTCTTCACCAGTCAAGAGACAAAGGATGTGGCGCATGGCATCCTAGGGCATTCTGTCCAACTACCATTTGTGCTTCATGCCCAACATGCTGGTGATAGGATCACTTTGGGGTGATATGGACATAAAGGTGACAATTTGGAAAATTTTCTGACCTTTGTTCTGTCATGGACTACCAACCATACTACCTGCCAATCACCCTCAGGAAAACTTTTGGGAAAGAGTGTAGCCCCAGTCCAAGCCACTCTGAGATCACTGCTCACAAGATATTTGACTTCAAGTCTGAGGACATGACTCAGAGCCCAGTGTCAGTGGAGAAAACAGAGTGCAACTGGGATCTTAATCCCCCCCCCCCCCCACAGCTCACTCTCAAGGCTGAACAGCAGCAGGTATGCATTGTGGGAAGTGCTGGTGTGGGGGAATGACACTTATGACTCTGTCCAGGCACATGAAAGAGATCCTACCACATCTCTGAAAATCTAACCTTTGTCCCCTAGAAAGGGCTGCATCTTGTGTGTGAGAAGTATCTGGATATGAATCATCTGTACCATGTTCAAAGACTGGAATCACTCACAGCCTTCTTTGAGGTCATGTGTGAAATGCACAGTGCATTATGTGCCGTCTTTCTTCCATGATATTTTAGGCTTGGAAGCAATTTCCCATCCTTAATCACTATCAAGACTTGTGGCCAGCAAGAGGTTTTGCCAAGATGTACCTCAAAAACAAAGTTGGTACTGACAAAGCTAAGGTGAGGATGAGAAACAGGGTGACTGATAATGACTGATATGGTGATATATGGTGAGTGCCATCTCAGAAGTAACAATATGTATTTCAAGTGATCAGCCAGGTACAGTGAAGTGCTGCACACTTGGAGGTGCTGGACATCATTATGAAAGTAGCAAGATCTAGGTAGATCTAGAGGACAAAGGGTAAATGAAATGTGATGATATCTTATCCTGATGCCTAGCTGATTGGCCAATTTCTATGACAATTGTAGAAAGCAGCACTATGATGGAATTGACAGTTTGGGTTAAGTTTGTCATCATAGCATGCTTGCTCTGCTCATAGCCACTACCTCCAATCTTTTCTTTGTGTGCAAGTGGGATGTTAATGATGACAGGAGCATGGGTAAGCCTTTGTTGCCCAGAAGCATGAGTATTTGACCAACTTCACTAGGTTCAGTAACCAGATTTGTCTGGAATTCTTTTTCACAAGCACTCTTCTCTGATGGGCCCTTCTTGCTGCCAGACCCTTCTGAGATGCTCTCCATGCATGCTCACTCACTCCCCAGTGGGTTGTAATCCTGCCAACTCGCTTCCTTCATGTCACACTTCTTCAACAACAACAGAAGAATTACTAGCTAAAATCATGAAGGCCATGGATGTCTTGGAGAAAGATATGATGCAACAGTGCACTGTGAGTCATTTATTGGATACCAGAACATCCACCTGATGAGTTGTATCATCAGGAATTCAAGCAACTGAAACAATGAGTATGACATGCCAAGAAAGCTCAAGCACTTGCTGAAGATAGGCATGCCAATCTCCAGGGCAACATCAGTGAAGTATGTTCAGTGTCTTTTATTACATCTTGCACTCATTGTATGTTCTAGTTGGCAATGTCCCAGGCCAGTATAATCAAATGTGTTGTCTGCCAACATTGCATGGAACAACCCTTCACATGAGTCCATCAGCATGCCTTACTGACTCTGTGTTGACCTCTACCTGTAGTATAGTTGAATGTGGACACTCTTTTTGTTACTGGTGCTTGATGACATGGTTCCACACCCTGCTGGAGAAGCAAATTTCACTGGTGACCTTCGATTCCCACTCACCTAAAATCAGCTCTGTTCACTGCTGACAAGATCAAACAACTAGTCAAGGAAGGACACATTTATAGGCCCTGTTATTCCTGCCCACTTTGTCACAGGGCTGTTCACAATAAACCTGTCAAGGTCTTCCTTGCTTCAGACCTGATCAGGGTAATTGGTGTTCTTGTTCCTCAGAGTTTTCCTGAGATCCCCCCTCTCCCTGCTGACAAAGACCTTTGGGCAGGTGCATTCTAAAAAATAGGCAATTAGGTTTTATTTTGTTTACAGACAGCAGTACAACTTAGTTCATAGATGTTTCCTTTGCAACTGCATGTCTATTCTGTAACTTGTGATCTACACAGTGAAAGCATCATAGATGAGTGACAGACAACCTGAGTGGAGCTGACACCAAAGCCACAGGTAAGGTCACAGTCAAGTTGCACATATATTGTGGATAGATCAGCTCTTGCACACTACTTTACAAGATGGTGAGAGGCAATGGTTATGAAGACATCTACTACCACCAATGTATTTTAGAGCCCATCATGAAAATAAGTTGATGGTCTACTGTACATCTGAAATGAGATAAGCCCTATGAATACTGCAAACATGAGTAAGGTGATGATGAGGTACCAGGAGGCAAGCAGGGCTGGCACATTGTACATTTGTGAATCTTGTTTGGCACAGTCAGGTTGGGTCGACTAGGTCTCAAGGCAATGAAAACTTGCTTCATCACAGCAATATGGTTAAGCACTTACACTGACCTCAGTGGACCATAACCATAGGAGTGGCTGCTCTTCACTACCATCCAAGGAGCCACTGGCAATGTAATGCTTTGTGAACTGCAGTGCATGATACTTAAAAGCCATCAGTCTAATCAGTGGACTATTAGTATACCTTGACCTTCATTGACAACTTGTACAACATGAAGATCTGTAGTCAACAGGGTCAGTTCAATGGCTTGGGGGCATGGTTAGTATACATACCCTCACTGTGATGGAGTGCCTGTACCTGTTGCCCAGTAGAAATATCCCAGATTACCACTTGACCATTGTCACTGCCTGTGATGGCAGTCTTTCCATCTAGATCAAACTGTATGTGACATATACAATTTTGCCTGATTTTCACCCAGAAATGGCAGAAATGCAACAGACTAATTGTTCAGCTTGTCCACTAGTCAGTAGGCATCAAATCCATCAACAAGATTCCAAACAAGCAGTGTCTTGGTGGCATCATGGTATGCCATGCTCCCTCTGAATAGTAACAGAGTTTAAAAGGCATGAAACATGATGGTGAAACAGCAAACAACATGCATGCATGTTCTAATTTTTTGATGCCAAAGCTGGTTCCATGGCACAACATTCCAGGCAATACTGTAATATCATTGAGTGAGTGATGGGTAAGGTGAGGTGAAGTAAACTACATCTCATGAGAGTCCAAGAAGGTGATCAATAAAGTATGCCCTCAATTCAAAAAGTGAGCTGAAATTGGCAGACCAAGCAGTCTGGATTGAGACAGTGGAGGGTACACTTGGAGCAGGCGCATCATCACTGAGATATTGTCAGGAAAATTTAATTACAGGCACCACAGAAGTAACTTATGACAGTTTGCCTTTGATAATTGGTACATTGCAATCCTCCCAAGCATTGCAACTGCCAATACACTATGTGTTTCATCAAGTGTAACACACTCAATTGCAGAGTCAAAAACAGTTTTCATATGTGCCCACTCAAACAATGCCTAACTGAAATAAACATAACATAATTAACAATCAAAGTATATGAGACTCTACCAATGTCATATTGAAATGCCATGCAACCACTGTACCATTTGCACCAGCAGAAAGGAGGTAGCACACTTTGGTGGTAGGTTCAGCATGGGGAGGGCCCCCTGCAAACCACTTGATAGCCACAACAGGACCCTGCTTTGGCTTCATGGACTGGAGGAGACTGCCATCATGTAGTGCCCAAACAAGGACATGGCCATCATCACCTACACCACACATTGGAGTGAATGTCACTGCTTTTCAGGTTATGACAGTACTTACTTCCACTAGCCAGGTAACTTCCATCTTCTGTAAAGGACAGGCAGTTGATTGGACCCTTGTGCCCTGTAGATGTCCACTGTAGACCATATTCTACCATAGTTGCAATCAAGGACCTTTGTCAAGAAATTGTGGATGCTCTACAATTTGATTATTAGGTGATTCCAATGACAACATTTTTTGTGGAACTCACTGCCAAGGTTTACTAGCAGAGAATGATTGTCTTGAGAGCCTAAATGTAGATACATGGTAGTGGTGCCAAAAGGTTGATAAAGGTTGTCATTTGTATGATTTCACAGTTGCAAAAACCTTGCATGATTTTCATGGTATGTGAAGCATTTTATTATAATTAGAAAGAAATCACTGAATTTTCCTTTTTCAGGTCCCTGGAACTATTCAAAATTCAATTAGTTTTGCATGCAATGTGATTTATGCTGGCCATCTACTTGCATTCTCAAAGATGAAACCCATTGCACCATTTGTTCTGGAACTTACACTGGAGGACCACACAGATACCATAACTGCACTTATGTTCTCTCCAACTGGGAATGAACTTGCTAGTGGAAGTGATAATGGCAGCATTATTATATATGAGCCACTTGTCAGATCATTGAAATACTGCACTGTCTTCCAAGGTGGAATCCTCAGCCTTGCATGGGATCTGCAACACCTGGCTTGCCTCTTTGTGGGTTGTAATGATGGCACACTGGCCATCATTGATGATTTCAAGGTATGTTATTTGTATATGCTGTCAATGCCAACTCACAAGAATGATAGAACCAAGACCCACCTAGTTCTGTTCTCACTGGCATCAAATCACCTATCTTCTCCCTCTCCATTGACAAGTACAGTGGTGACATTGTGATCACAGTTGGATCTGAAATTCACATTGCAAAAGAAATTTCCCCTAGTACTTGCTGCCTTTCCCTACTTAATTGCTTTGATTGCTTACAGGCAGCAATTGTTAGGGAACTATGTCACAATTAAGATTTTCCCCCTGCCATCAGAATTAGTGAATACAATGGAGGCTAACAAAAGGGTGTGAGGTCAAGCAATTATGTTTAGGGAAAAGGGGAGTGAGCTTGTTGTTGCCTATCTCAACCATGGAGTATGTCGCAAATTTCTTGGGCACGTGATAAGAACCTTATAATACATGTTAAGGGTGGCTGTTCACACTTCCGTTATAAGCCATGCCAATGCCACCCATGTGTCATTGAAAGATTGCCAAAAATGGGTATTTGTACATAATATTTTACACATTTGCACTATATCTTAGATAAAATATCACATATTTGCTATAATCTAGCCAAACCTGACCATTATAATGGCAAGTGGTCCATTACATGCTGCTTACAATGGGGGCATGTGACAATGGACCAAATAGATTTGCGACATAGTGTATGTGTTTAGTAGGCTTTGTGTTTTCCTCAGCCAATGTATTGCACAAACATATACAGGTGCTGGGATGTGGTCTCACAAAAAGAACTTTGGTGAATCCAACCAATCCACAGCCATTGACATCTGTAGGGATCCTATTGCTTGACATTTGATTTCTTATCTTTATATCTTCAGAAGTCATGCTGCACTGTCACCAGACCAGAAACTCATACTTGTATCAAACTTGGGAACAGGTGTTGATATCTATGAACACAGTTGATCCCATCTGGTATTGTGCTTGAAGGCTCATCCTGCAGCCTTGAATAGAAATGTTCCATTGCAAGTGGCTTGTTTTTCTGGAGGCATAGTGAGTGGAGCTCCAGATGGCAGTGTGCACATCTGGAGAATTCCATCTGGAAATTGTTTGCAAGTTCTGGAGCACAATGGTGAGTATCCCCAAATCCTATATGAGTTTATCTCAATGGTTCCCTGGGAATTCCTCAGGAGACATGGTACAGTCTGTTGCAGTATGTCCAAGGTAGATTTTCCAGTGACTTATCTGATCTGCACATTCAATAAGGTGTTCAAGTATCCAACTTGTACTTTGGTTGTGATGGCCACTTCCTGCATGATGCAAGATATGTACATTAAAACATGGTGAGCCAAGAATGAAAGCAGTATGGCTTTTATTTCAGTCTGGTGACTATGCTGAAGAGCATGTTGTCAAGATATCATCACCACATGTTTGGAAACACCATGGACTTCCAGACTCTATCATATTGGACAGAGGGCCCAAAGGAATTATTTAAAATGTTAGGAGTACATCAGAAACTCTCTACAGCATTCCACCTGCAGACAGACAAACAGAGCAGTTGAACTATGAGATTCAACAATACTTATGGATGTATGCCAACCAGCAACAGGCTCACTGGGAAGAGTGGCTACCTTTGGCTCAGTTTGCATACAATAACTCTCTCTCTACTTCTACTGGCAAGTGCCCCTTTGAAGTTACCCATTCCTATAGACCTAAGACGGGTGTCAAGTGTCAAGCCAATGACTTCAAAGGTAGAAGCAGCAGAGGAGGTCACCAAATCTTGGTCCCAGGTGTTCCAAGATGTAAAAGCAAACCTTGCCAAGGCATACTCCCAGCAGAAGCAGAAAGTGGACAGACACCACTCACCTGCCCCTTCTTACTCCATTGGATCTCAGGTCTGGCTAGCTACAGACCATCTGTCCATCAAAGAATGGCAGAGCCATAAACTTTCTGAAAAGTGGATCAGACCATATGAAGTTCTAGAGGTACTTCTGAATGCTCTTAAATTAAAGTTGCCACACAACATGAGGATTCACCCAGTTGTGAATGTCTCATGGGTTGAACCCTATCTTGGTGCCCTTGATGGGCAGCCTGTTAACAGGCCTGGACTGCAGAGGGTTACAGATGAAGGAGATGTCAAATACAAGGTCAAATATGTTGTTGACTCCCATTTGAAATGAAGAGTTCTTCAATTCCTTGTCCATTGGAGGGGATGCCCTGCAGAAGATCATACCTGGGAGCCAGCCTCCACCTTGAAGAATTTGCAGTTGGTGATCAAGGACTTTTACCAATCCCACCCCAAGGCCCCCCACAAATTATCTCTCCTTTTGTCTGAAACTTTTGACAGCTTGTTCACACCCATGCCAGAACTGTTTACTACTGTCCATCCTATTTGGTCTCACCTGGAAGTCAATCCTTAGGAGGGGATAGTGTAATGAATGGTAGACTTTTCACTTCTGCATTTTCCTACTTGACTATATATATCCACCCTCTGGTTAGGGTTACACTTTAGGGATGCTTGGTCATCTCAGAGTTTTCCTTCTGCTTGTGATATCATGCTTACACAATAATTAGTCAGGCTGTGTCTCACTGACACCATGTGTTCACATTTGACCAATAGCATAGCTTTCTCTTTTGTTTACTTTCTTCTCAAGTGTTCTCTCATGGCAGTACATACAAACAGTAAGGCAGTATATAAGTCCCATCATTTGTCATAGCCAGTTCCTTAATCTGGTTCATTTTGAGTCTGCTTCTCAATCAATGGGTTCCACCCCCATTCTCTCTGGTTTGAAGTGATAGTTGAGTAGACATTCATCTTTGGATTGCTTCACTGGAAGATGGATCTTTTGGCAGCAGTGACTCTGATTCTGAGTGGGGTGAGCATCAAGGAAGGGTGCATGCTCCAACTGGGGTCAGTGTATTTGGCACATCTGCTTGGTGGGTTGCAGGTAAAATAATTTATGTTCATGCTTACAATGTACTCATGTAGACCACAGAACTACCAGCCAATACCTGCTACAGAGTGACTTTCCATTGACCATATTCAGGCCAAATACAAAGCTACTGAATTCACACCCACACTCATACAATGGCTCTCCTCATACTCTGGTCAACACCTTTTGAAGGATGCTGTAGGTATCCTCAGTAGTGCAGCAAGCTACTAATGTATTAGACCAACCTGTAGGTATCTACAGGACATCAGTAAGTATAATACTGGTAGTGAAAGTGAGCTTACCCTCAGTAGTGCAACAAGCTACTGAGGGAACAGTGAATAAACTATTGTAAAATGTGCGCTCTAAGGTGATTATGTAAGCACCCAAACATCGCACCAAAGTGAGCAGAACACAGGGGAGAATATATCTCCAACAACACCAAGTGTCATGACTGTGCCTCAACCCCAGCCAGACTCAGCTTCACAATCTTCCAGTCCAGCCTCAGCCTCACCAAAACATCTATCTCCAATTAGTCTAGCACAGTTGGCACTGCTTTGTAGTGTGTGTCATTTTGGTTGAGCCCAACCTGGCCTTGCTCCCAGTCTGCCCTCACTCTCTGTCCTGGTCTCTGGTCACCTTAGTCATACCTTACTCATACTAGTCTTACCAATCATCTTAGCAATCTTTGCAAGACCAGCATTACCAGTCTCCATACTATAGCTACTTCTAGTATATAAACTCTTAGATACTCAGCCTGTACTCTCCAGTCTGAAATCAATTAAGTTCTACCTGAAACCCCCACCTTGGCCTCAGACTTGGACTGTGACCCATGCAAGGGAATAGTGCTGCATCCTCAGTCACTAAGTCCAAACAGTCCACCCTCTGTATCTTTGCCTTTCCCCCCAATCCCAACCCCTTGGCCTCACACCAGCTCCAGTCTCCAGTCTGGCCTCAAACCCAGACTTCACAAACTTGACACCAAGCAATTGACTGAATCAGATTGATTTGACATCTACCACAATCTGTACATCAAGACTGGCCCAAGCATCATCACTGGCTATCAGAAGAGTATGCAAAAACTTCACACTATGCCAAAGGTCATTGGTCAAGGGCATAAGCCAGAATGCTCCGCTCAGTTTGATACTTCATTTGTGTTGGAGGAAGGGTGTCAACACTCTATGCCCCTCATTCCAAACAGTATGTACATATATCTCACCAGTTTGCATCCCTCTGCTGATGAGGTCTTGGAAACCCTAGGTGTGCAAATTGCTCAAGTCTGGGTCATATTCAAGCTTCCTGATTACTTTGGTAACTACCTGCATCCCCTCATCTATGTTGAATGGTTTACAGTGCTCCACCACCATGATCCTGCCTCTGGTCTGTACATTGTCACTCATTCAACACATCATCATCACCCAAATGTGGTGATCATCAGTGCCAACTGTATTGTACATGCATGCCACCTGCAAGTGTGATGCAGGAAGGGGATCAATGCAGACTGGTCAGCAGACAACATGCTGGACAGGACTGCAGCATTTTATGTGAATTCTTTCATCAACTTAGATATGTTCATTGCATTGGAGTAGTTTTTTTTTTACCATTGTGTTGCACAACCCCACAAGTCAATGAATGTGTGATTCAATATATGGAATGACTATGTAGACTGCTGTAGCTCTGGAGGGCTATATGTTGTACTGTCATGCTGGTGAGTCTATGATGGTTGTATGACAGTCCACTGCCTGATATGACAGATGTGTTGTACTCCCCATCTTAAAATGACATGTCAATAGTGCAACAGGGTGTGTGCCTGAGACAACCTGGCACAATGAAGCCTATGGGTGACAGTGTACCTTAGTGGCTATGCTACATATCAATGTAATTTTCCTGATGTAGTGGGTCACTTACCTCATGTTTGGACTTACCACACAAAACCTTTAGATTTTGAGGCTTCATGACCTCCAACATCAGTTGCCAAACTAGTGTGTGGTCATCAGCATCCAATGCAATGAGTGGCAAGGTCACTTTGGGCTTCTTGGCCATTGAGGGAGCAGGCAAGCATCTGCAGGCACACAGTAATAACCCTAACCCATCAAATTTCCTAACTAGTATTAAAAATTATTTACTAGGTGCACGTGACAACAGCGAAAGCGAAAGCGAGCGCTGCAAGCAGGGTGCTGATTCTTTCTTTTTCTTAATGTAATCTTACGAAGAAAGAAAGTATCATTCCACCTTCGTTGCATGCCCATGCATTCTTATATGTTTCGTGTATATCCTTTCTTGGACTCAATTCCAATTTTCCGACGTTCATCCAAGGGCCAGAGTAGACGGAAACCCGAAACGATATGCTAGCGGGTGTTCAGGCGAATCTTGCGCGAGCCGTGTCAGTTGGACGGTTCTCATCTACACACGGACCAAGATGTCGGGGACTGCGACACCTGCCAGTCAACCTATCGTGGATTGTCAGTTACACATCGAGTCGCCTCGTTCCCCTGTGAGCTTCACAGTGAGTGCACGATTCACCACACCCTCGTCGGGAGAAAGAAAAAAAAACGGCTGTACTTTTCCAGGATCAGAGACTAAGTTTGTGAAGAGGTGGATGCAGTGTTACACTTCATCAACGCCGCCTCCATGGCAGTGCACACCAAGCGTGCTGTCGGAGTTGAAGCTGTGGATACAAGAAAGGAAGTATGACAGGTTTCGGCGCCAGCGGGTACAATTGCTTGGTGAACGCTAGGATATGTGACGCGAAACCAAAATGGTGGGCTTTCCTCTCCGCAGCGTTTATTGACACTGCACTTGGGAATGATGCCAGGGAACCGACGTCATTTATGTAACTGGGATCTTGGGAATTGATACATAGAAGCCTTGTGACCGCAGAGTCTGCCGATACAGCAATCAGCAAGTAGAGTATCGCCTTATTACTCATCGACCGGTCGAGGTTTCAGCCGACTAAACATAGTTCGGCTTATACTTTGGATCCAGGCTTTATATACCCTGAGGAGCTAGGTGACCCTCTTCAGAGATGGACGCCGCAGCAGACAACGATTTTCTCAGAATAGTGAAGGACGCTCAAACAATCCAGTTCCTGCAAGGTAATTCTCTGAGATTCCCCGACACCCATTACATTGAGAGTTTACTTTTATCAATCTCAGTTGCGCTGACCATTTTGTTGATGTACAACTATGGTAAGTATTTCCTTTTCACCGGCGGTGAGCACTCACGATGGTGGTCAGTGCTTTCCTTGGATGATGAGGTATCAGCAGTTTTTTCGGAGCCTTGCTTCGTTTACAGTAGTTGACAAGTATCTTGCTGGCAGATCGAATATATATGGGTACATGTCCAATCTCTTATCGGATTCTGGGACCCTAATGGATCATCGTAACAGAAAAAAAGGATCTCGAGCGTCTCAGTCATCTACCTAATGGTTAGTTTCATGAATGCGTTCTTGACGCGGAGCTCATCATAAATATCAGCTTCGATATTTTGGCATCACATATATGCTGTACGTTGGTCTCATGTGTATTTTTTCAGAGCTTAGACCTGCCATAGGTATTCCTCAGTGGGTAAGCCATTATTGCTCAGGCTTGTGGTACAATGCTCACCCTCACTAGCTCTTGTCACGAACACAATTTCCATAGACAAGGCACGTGTTACTCAGGTTAATGAGTGTCATACTAGCTTACTTAGCAAGGGCCACACCAGTTGTATGTGGTTTTACTCACTCCTGTAATGTAGATCATGACACTTTACAATTCGTCCGATCAAAACGAACAGTGGTAAGTAAAGCAAATGGGGATTAAGTTTTATCTGATTGTTCCTGTCCCAGCTACCCGCAGTTACCCTGCCCTCAGCCTGTGGTTCAACTGTTTGGTTTCAGCGGCCAACCAAAGTAGATTTATCATTATTTGCCAGAGAACCATCCTAATTGATTTACCCAGTCGTTTTGCAACTGCGGCTGTATGCTCTCTACAGTGGCTCGAGGAGGGTTTTATTTCTGATGGTCCCAGGCTTCGTTGTGGAAACGATCGTCATGATCGTGTGCATCACACTCGTCACTATGTCCATAGGTTGGTTATAGCCTAATTCTTTTTGAATGAGGTGCAAACTTAGCCCATATCCATAAGATAATGCTCAACTGGACCTCAGCGTCACAGTCAGCGCGTCCTCCAACATAGCCCTCAAAATCTACATCCACCAGGTTGCCATGATGGGGTATGAATGTCTATTATTTTCGGCCGCTTTGTCCGCTGCCCTCCGGAGATATCGAGAGGGGCTCGACCCTCTCTCATCCAATTGGAATCAACTAACACGCCTAACGGACATTCTCATTGAAGGGAATGTGATTTCTTTTCTCATGTCCGTACTCCAACACTGTTCGAGGTGATGAATTAATGAGGTTTGCATGTAGTTCCTCGGTTTATTCTGTGATTAATGTAGTACTGTTGCTCACCCTCAAAGTAAGTTGACGTTCATCGTTCAGAGCGGTTTCGCCTCTGATATCTTGGACAGGTAGAGTGGGTTTTTGGAACACTCAACATCGGCTTTTCCTTGGGAGTTACTATTGGCTGTCACCTTATCTTGCAAATCCGAAGAGCAGCATCTCCCACTTCGCTTGACTATGATATTGGCGAAGACAAATCAGCTTCCTTGTGGCCCTCCATAATCTTTCCGTACTCATCTCGTAGGTTTGCACGTCGTCGCTGATGTATGTCTTCCCACTTAGTTGAGAGTACTGTCTGAGACCTTCTGTGGCTTTTAGTCCCATTGAACCGGGCAGAATTTCCTTCAGTAATATGTGTTATCTCTCTTGTAGAGTAATCTTGCTCGTTAGAAATGAGATCGGTTGTGAACGTATACGATACATAGTAGGTTTTCTCGATTATCAATTCTGTAAAACCAGCGTAGACTACAGTCGCGTCACACACCATTCGAGAACTTGGATTACATTGCCCAGAAAGGATGCCTCTTTCAAGCGAGCGATAACCCTGACTTCTCCTTTCGCGAACACCGTCCCATCCCACAACTCCGTCCAAGACTCGGGGGAGTGACAGAATATGTCATACCCGACGCCTAGACAACTGTGTGGGCGAGTACCTTTGACAGTTGCACCCGGTTGTATGCCGGTTATGAGTGATCCAGGTACGGGAGACAACAATCCTGCAAGGCCGCGGGCGACGTAGGAGCTGCTGTTCTTCCGAGAAGCAAGAGAAGAAGGCTGATGCGTTGATGACGGAACAGTGGCCGCGCAGTGAGTTGAGCGTCATCAACCTTGACAGATCGGGCAATGGCTCCGGTACAGGCCCACGAGCTGGAGGCGCGATGGTAAGCATCTCAGGATCGAAGACGTCCCCTGCGATGAAGTGACCAGGATACGTCTCCTTGGATGTCCTAAACAAGACGTGGCTGAGATCAAGATATCCTGATTGATCGACCATCATTAGCAGTAGTAGCTGAGGAGTGGCGGGAGGTTTCTCACCTTGCTTGAGGTCAGATGCAACGATGTTGTGGGCGGGGAAGCCATCCGCTGCAACTCGCCTGGATTCGGTAGCCACTGAGCAACCCAAAGTCAGAATGTTTGCATGGCAACAAAAAAAAGGTACGTACAGCAGCACCCGATGTCCAAGAGGATAGCATTCTGGCGTTCTCGACCGATCTTGATGATCTCCTGATATTCAGGTCGGTGAACTATTGATATTCTGTGACGAAGGCGTGTTTCAGCTCTCGGAAAGCAGCACCGTCGAGATGTATCTTCACCTCAGAAAACCGAAGACATAGATGCAACCCCATGGCGCAACCTGGAAAAAGAAGTTGGTATTTCTTCTTTCATAGTCCGTAGCTTAGCTTACCTTCCACGCTTTCTCTTGCACGGATAAGATATGGGCCTTCAGTTCATCATCATTGTCAATGCCGATAGCAGTCTTGAAAAACGCTGCCTCGTCTGGTGACAGCGAATAAAGGTCGGGGTTGAGAGCAGGGAACATCTGGTGAGTGTTTTGCCTTATCTGCAAAAGGGATATAGTCAGAGGACACTTGCTCTGGAACGTCGACGGATGTCATGAGATGAGGTCTGTTAGTTAAAGGGGATGAATACCTCCCTCATATCAGGCAGTGGCTTTTATGCCAAAGGATGGGCGAGGAAGATGCCCTCGCTACAAGACGAGGGCAATATGTCATCCGACGGACGTACAGGAGGTAACTTATCGCCGGTCGCGGAGAATTAGATATGATTTTACCCGACGGAACCGCACACTGCTACGTGTCATTCTGTCTTTGATGGTACGCCGGGATTCATGTCCGGGACTACACTGCGTGGCATTGGTCCCGGAAAATTATTTGTGCGCTTACAAAACACATAAGGTCAAGTGAATTGGCATCACTGTGTATCGACACAGTACTGTAACCATGCAATGAAGCAACTGAAACGGCTTCAAGGATATGATATACGCACGGCTAAAAGGTCTCAGTCTCTTAACGTACCAGATGAGTACAGAGAAGGCTTTCCGAAAGAACTCTACCTCTCCATATTTTTCCCGATTTTCTGCCTCTAGGTTCTCTGTGACTGTTCCGTACCGCAATTCCCTCCAAGTTTCCTCCCATTGGGAGAAGAGATGACACTTTTGACCATTGATATCATCAAGGATGTTTCCCTTTTCCTTCACCTGCTCCTCGCTGAAGGGGTGGATGGGGGCACACGCATTAATGACAGAGTAGTGACCGTGAAGCTGGCTAATTGAAGTCGGTGCTGACAAGTCCGGAGGGCGGTGGAACGACGAAGGGTAATGCTGGATCGAGAGCATCACCTGCGACGAGTTTCACAGGGAAAGCTTCCTGAATAAACGGTGAGCTAGATGCTCGAACTCTGTTAAGATGTTAGTGAGTAGGCGATCCCAAAGAGGTTCACAGCAGTGATCTCAGCTTGCCTTCAATGAGGGCCGATGTTGCGATATTATAGGCAAGGAATCTATCGGAGACAACCTTTCTGGATTCCGTGCCGACTTTGTTACCTTTCTTAAGCAGATCGTCAGGGTTAGTAACAAAACACCTACCACCGCACCCATTGTCCAACAGTACTGCGGTGCCGCATGTGCGACCAATCTTGAGTCTATCGGTTACATTGCATTCGGGGTCCTCGAACAGGTGAACACATTCACAGTGCGACAGCGAAATGGATGATAGCTCGTGCGTTAGGAAAGTAATTCCGTAGATCCACGATAGGGCACCAGGTGAATGTGTTAGACAAAGTAAGGATCACTTTGTAGGCTTCCTCCTGAACGATTAGGATGTGGGTCTTCAGCACATCCTCCTCCTCGACACGCTTTGAAGAGCACCAACTCATTGAGTGTTGGTGCATACAGGTTTGGATTGAGTGGAAGGGTCGACTATGATGTCTCCCAACGGCTTTCTATGATATGAAGGGCGTTGACAGCTGCCATGCTACTGTATGGATTGAGACGCGATACTACCCAACCTATTCACATCCACGTCTGCTCACTCCAGGCGACCTATCTGAACACCGACCGTGATCAAGTGTGACAGCGACACGCGTGACAAGCCGTTTAATAAATATTGTGACACAGCGTGTCTCCCCTGTGCGTGCCAGGAGTCGGCGATGTCGAGTCTGAACAAGCTAGCAATTCGGGGCATTCGGTCGTTCGACGACAAGCAAATATCTGTCATCGAGTTCTTCTCGCCAGTGACTGTCATTGTCGGCCACAATGGCAGTGGAAAGACGACCATCATCGAGTGTCTCAAGTACGCCACGACTGGCGACCAGCCCCCTAACACACGCGGCGGCGCCTTCGTGCATGACCCCAAAATGGCCAACGAGAAGGAGGTAAAGGCTCAGGTGAAACTGAGATTTCACGCCGCAAATGGGAACAGGATGCTCGTAGTCCGCAACTTGTCAGTAACAGCAAAGAAGACAGGGTTAACTATGAAGACTTTGGAAAGCATCCTTGCACTTGCAGACAGCAACGTTGAGAAAGGAGGAAAGGTAACTGTGACCTCTTGCACTTCAGTGCAGCCGACACGTTGACGCGTCACGCAGAGAGGGGCTATTTCGACCAAGTGCGCAGAGATAGACACAGAAATCCCTCACCTCCTGGGCGTATCCAAGTCTGTCTTGGAGAACGTTATTTTCTGTCATCAGGAGGATTCTTACTGGCCTCTAGCCGAACCCTCAATTCTCAAGAAAAAATTCGACGACATATTTGAAGCCACGAGGTAGCTGCCATCGATATTCCTATTCTCTCTCAAGGAACATAAATATATCTGTATAGATACACCAAAGCCCTCGAATCCATCAAATTGCTCCGCAAGGACCGCATAGCCGACCTAAAGGCTGAGAAAGAACGACTAGAGTCTTTAGCAAAGGAAAAGGCCCATGCCGACAAACTTCGTGCCCGAATAACCGATCTCAACTCGTCCATCACCTCTAAGCAGAATCAATACGACGAAACGAAGCGCGAGTACTGAGCAACTCGTCAAGAACAATGCTCGATTCTATGAGTCCGCAACTAAGTTCAGGGAAATGTATGTTAAGGTCGAGAACCTGCAGCAGAAAAAGGAGCACTACCAACAAGAGCTCGCGGATATGAGGGAAACGGTGCAGGAGATGGAAGGTACTGCTTTGGATGCCCTGACCTCCGTAATGTATTGACCCATCTTTAGGTTCCGATGACCAACTCCAGAATCGCTTGCACAACTTCGACGAGAACATTGCTCAGCTGAAACAAAAGCGAAGACGTCATGAAGGGGAACGTCAGGACTTCGAGGACGAGCTTGCCAAGACACGGAGAATGCATGTTGAGCTTGTAAATGAACAAGGAGAGCTTGCTGCTGAAGCTAAGGTATGTGGATGCATTTTCAGCTGCGTACGCATACACATGACTATTTTTCTCACAGGCTCATGAACGTCGCATTACAGAACGCGAAGAACTCATTCGTGATATCAGCGACAAGTACAATATCAAGGGTTACAGTCATTCCCCTCTGGAGCGCGAGAAAGTCAACGAATTTATTTCACGACTTACTGATCTGCAGCGGCGTCAACGTGCAGACTACGAGAAGTTTCAGGCCGAGGCCCGTGCGAGGAATGATGAGTATAACAGACAGTCGAGGACAGTTGCATACTGAAGTAGAGAGTCTGAAGCTACAACAGAGCAATGCCCGCGACCAGATTGTACGTGTCTCCGCTTTATACTCAATACGCGGACTGCTGAAACTTGCAATCGCAGAAAGAGCGCCAAGCGTCAATTGCTATGGCAGAATCCTCACTGGTAACAATGCAAGGCCTCGCGTCTGAGTTGCGTACCCTCGTCGGGGATATTGGAGAGAAGAAAAGTCGGCTTGAGAAGATCAAGGGCGAGATTAAGTCTGCCAACTTCGATGAACGACTCAGTGAGCGTGTTTCCAAGGCGCGTACTATGGAAGACAAACGGGATTCCTTGAACGCGGAGCTGCGCAGTCTGAGCCTGCAGGCGGACTCGCGCGCAAGGTTGGACCTGAAGCGGGCTGAGATGAAGAGCAAGAAGTCAGAGATTAAGAATATGTAAGCGTTCTTCGTAAGGACTTGATATCAGATTAGTGAAGCGCGAACTCCTACGTAGCCTCGAGACGAGCAACCCCAAGTTCCGGAAGCTTGTTGGGACGGACGTTCGAGCGGAGACCATGGAACGCGAGCTGGACCGGCTCTCTAGGTCAGATTCACGTTTGTTCTACCCGAGCAGTTTCGAACCTGAAATGGTCATTAGAGAGAAGGATCAGGAGCTTGCAGAGGCAGAGGCAGAGTTGTCTTCTGCCAACAAGGCTCTCCAAAGCTCGGAAACAACACTTTCTCAGGCGAAGGCGCAGCTCAAAAACAAGCACAAAGAGGTTAGAGGTAGGCTATCGTTGGGTTGAGTGGTACGACTTAGACCACTGACGCAGTCGTTGGGTAGAATTTGAGCGGCGCATTAAGGAAGCCACGGAGTACAACTTCGGAGACGCACCCCTGTTGGATGCGATCAAGGAGGCCGAGCGTATAATTGCTGAGAAGAAGGAGTGCGTGCAGCTTACTACATTCCCAAGTGCTTGTTGATAACAGGATCTACAACTGCCATCGGACAGGGAGGCAAGCTTGAGTGCTGGCATGACTCGAGTATACGAGAATCTCTTGAACATTGGAAGGGTCAGGAAGAGATGTGCTACCTGTGACCGGCACATGGATGCCAAAGAAATGGCCGTATTTGAGAAATACGTACGTCATCCCCCTCAACGTCGTGATTTGTGACGAACTAGTTCCTCACTTTCATTTCCACAGCTCCAAGAACAAATACGGAAAACTAAGGAGGCTCCGAAGGCCGACAAGGACGAGTCGTCTACCGTGGACGCATGGGAGACCGAATTGGTGAATCTTCGTGACGCGTTGCCTGCTCAAGCATCAAAAGACCGCATCCTGAGCTCGGAAATTCCCGCACTGGAGCAAGATATTAAGGCTACAGAGGCTGAGATCCAGCCTCTAAGCGATGATGCGGAGAAGGTATACCTTCGCTAACGTGCTTAGTTGTGCTTCGCTCTGATGATTTCGCCCAGGCTGCCCAAAACGTGGAAAATATTAAGAAGGAAATCAGAGCTATTGTTGTGCTGAAACAGCAGGCAGCCACCGTCTCGCGCAACCTGAGCGACATCGACCGGCTCGAAACTGAGACCGCTAATCTTGAGGAGGAACTAAGGTCTACCGGCAGCGCCAAGACAGCAGATGACGTGCAAATGGAACTGGACAATTTGTCCAGTGAGATGTGAGAGTTTCGAAAATTCCAGCCTGGCGAGCCCTCACTTTACTCTCGCAGTCGAACAAACGAACGTGAGAGGCAAGCAATTATGACGGAGCGTGACCGCTTGAATTCCTCGTTACGCACCTGCGAGGGCGAGTTGCACATAATGGAGAAGAAGGAGAACACCCTCTCCAACCAGATTCGTGAGAAGGATCTTACAGAGGAGCGCGTTGACGTGATGAGAAAGGAGATTATGAATCTGAATGCTAGAGTCAAGGTGCGTTGTGTTTCTACTGAACAGAATGGGGAGCCCGAAATCGTGGCATAGGAATTGGATAGCAAACACGCTGAGGCACAAGCTCCTATAAACCACCTCGAACAAGAACATCAGCAGGTACAAAACGAGCTTAACGTCAGAGTAGCAGAAGTACAAAGGGCATCGCAAGAACTGAACATGAGCGTCGACAAGCTTGACGGTATTAACAGAGCTGTCGACCGGTGAGTGACTCGTTACGTTCCCTGATCCTCGGAAACTCACGAATCTAAGATACATCCGCGAGAAGCGCGGACTGCTCTTGACAGATTGTGCTGAGAAGATTGAGCGTTACGAGAGCGAAATCCAAGAAATTAGCATCAAGGTCGAGAACATACGAGAGAACATAGCAAAGATCGACAAAGAAATCAGCGAGAGCGGAAGTTCTATCTCTAACCTACGGGCCAACCTTCGCATTCGAAAACTCGTCACGGATATCGCAGCGACACAGGCAGAGATTGACTCTTACGACATGGAGTCTGCGGCGAAGGCGAAGCGAACATTTGAAGACCGGTACCAGGCCGAGAAACAGAAGGAGACAGACATGCAGAGCAAGGTATTATGTCTCCCGCTAGCAACCAAGACGGAGTTGCTAATGCGTGGGGGTTATAGTACGCTCATCTTGGAGGCGAAATTAGTTCGCTTAATGAAACTTTGAAACAAGTTGAAAAGGATCTGCGGGAATACAAGGATACCAACAGAAGGTACACGGATCAACTTGTGAAAGTCAAGGTCTGTCGTCCTCTACGACTATTCGGTTCCCGTATTCACTGTCTTTTGATTTCAGATGTCAGATATGGCCAACAATGACCTTGAGAAGTATGCGAAGGCCCTGGATAAGTAAGCCGGGCCGGTATAATGACTTCCACATTCGTGCTAAGGTTGCTTCAGCGCAATCATGAAGTACCACAGTTTGAAGATGGAAGAAGTCAATGACACGATGCGTCACCTGTGGAATAAAACGTACCAAGGGACTGGTAAGGATTGGAGGTGGCGGGATGTACGTAGACGTTGATATCCTTTCTAGATATCGACGGAATTAAGATACGTTCAGACGTGGAAGGCGGGGCGTCAAAGCGGTCATATAATTACAGGGTGGGCTTCCTAAGTGCACGCCATTGGAAGCAACTGATTCAGCCGTGCCTGCAGGTCGTCATGACGAAGGATCAGGTGGAAATGGACATGAGAGGACGCTGTTCGGCCGGTCAGAAGATGCTTGCTTCGATAATCATCCGTCTCGCGCTGTCGGATTCGTTCGGGCAAAATTGTGGTATCCTGGCGCTGGACGAACCCACGAACGCATTGGACGTGGAAAATATCGATGCCCTGGCAGAGAGTCTGGTCGAGTCAGTGTTCTCCGCGGCGAAAAGTTCTCGATGCTGACTAAGGCTGCAGCATCATCAACGAGCGGAAAAACCATTCAAACTTCCAGCTTATTATTATCACGCACGACGAAAATTTCCTTCGGAAGCTTGGTCAAAGCGATGTGATGGAATATTATTGGTGAGTCGCTACGTACGATCCAGTGGCGTGGAGTTAGCTGAACGATACGGTCGTTTGATGCAGGCGAGTATCACGAGACTCCAGACAGAAGTCGGTGATCGAGCGCCAGCGATTCCGGTGAACGATGTGGGTGGGTGGGCTTCGTTACTGCGTATGGACTCATTGTACATTACTGCACTACCATAACACCGACCGGTTTGATCAGGTCCGATGTGCTAATAGTAGAGTCTCCCTTGTTTTGGTCTGCGGGCACCATGAGTCGGTTAGACGCCTGAGGCCTCCTGATAAGCAATGACGCCTTCGCCATCACTCCAGACCGCTGCGTCGTACCCAGGTCCGGACTATTTACGTGATCGGCGTCCCAGGTGGAATTCCTTGCGTTCATTAAAGTCCTCGCTCGGAGTGTCCTTATCGCCCTTATAACCCCCCCCCCCCCCTCCCGTTCCCCCCCTTCAACTATTCCATTCGCTTTCCCTCGTACTAACGAGCGGTGCTGTCTCCCTGCTAGCTTGCTGTATGGCGCAGCCCCCAGCGTCGAAGCTCACACTGAGAGGGCTGCTGACACTTCCAGTGAGTTCCATGTGACCGTGTAACTGATGTGACGTCTATCTGATGCGCGCTGGTCAAACCTGTCTTAGTATCGGCTGTGCAACCCTCCCCCAGCCATCGGGAAAGTGCGATCCTGCAGTGTGACGCCAGTACTCCAAGTGTGTCTTGATGACGTCCTCGATCGCAAACACCTTCCTCCGCTCGGTCTCAAAGACTTTGAAGAGTATCTCCTTTATGTGGAGCAGGCTCCCGAAAACCTCTATTTCATTCTCTGGTTGAAGGAGTACACCACTCGTTACCAAGCCTGGGCCCAGCGAGCAAAAGCCGCGTTTACGAACGATACGCTCAGAGTTGGAAATGTGCCCAGTTCCCCCCGCAGGTTACTTCGGAACCCCCCTCTACCAGATCCTTCTCTGACCTTGTTCTACTCCCGTGCCAAGCAAACTTTTTTCACGCCGTTCGCAGATTATGAGCTCAATATCCCTTCAGACATATTGGGTCCATTTCATTCCTCTGCTTCGCAGTCCAGGCCGCCCGGATCACCTGCACCCTGGCACTCTCAATCTGCGCATCCGGACCCCGCCGTGTTCACAGAAGTAGCCATTGAAGCACGATTCATGCTCAACGAGTCTCTCCAACGCTTCGTTCAGGCGGCGTCCACCAATGTCGGCTCCCGAAGGGCTGCGTGCGGTATTGCTGGCGGTTGCTTCTTTACTACTGTCACCGGGGTCTTACCATTGGTTATGACCACCGGGCGATGGAATGCCGGTCCCCATGGTCGACTTATTCGGTTGGCAGCAGCACCTGGCTTGTGGTTCGGGCTCACAATCCTGATTGCCAGTTTGCAAGGCGTAAGCATTTTTCGCCGCCGGGGGTTTTTCTTTCCGTGTATGAAAACTGATTTTTTCCTTCTCACACAAGATCTGTCTCATGATATATGTCTTCGGAGATCTCAGGCAACTACGCAAATTTGAGCTTGCACGCCCGGCGATATCTCGTCCATTGCCAACATCCATATCCGAGCCATTCATTCAAGTTCCTCGAGCCCCCCCGGCCCCACCTCCCAGTGTCACTATCCTACCCAGGGTCCAGTCTCAAAGAAATGATTTCGCGGGTATCTCCCCCGTTACGGTGAACACGACTTCTTCGGCTTCGCCCGGCTGTCGGCCATTTTCTCCAGCGTCCGCCCGCTCTTCGGCAACTTCTCGTGAGTCTTGTGACCCGGAGTCTGCATGCTCTGGTTGTGTAAATGAAATCGAGATATCTGCCGCGGTGTTTGATGAGGACCCTGCTCCAGAGGGTCCCGCAACCGCTACTTGCCTTCACCGGCCGGAGTATCAAGCCCCGTCTCCACCCTCGTCAATCACATTTCCTCCTTCAGCGCACTTTCCCCCGCGGGCGCGACCAGCTGTTTCGGCTCCCAATATTCACAGTGCCCTTGACCGTTCTCGTAACGGTGACAGTATAACCAAAGCTGAGTCACTATACGGGCCAACCGCAGGGTTTATCCAACCAAGTAATAATAGTGGCGATATTGACAACCTGTCAAGTTCCTGGAAGAATTCCCTTCCACACAAAAGTCGAGCCACGTTACAAAATTTTGATTTCGACTTACTACCGAGCACGAGAAGAAGTGCCTCAGCACGCGAATTGGGTGGACGCCCGAGGATCGATGTTGTAACTACTGCCCCAGCACCGTCATCTGCACCCTGTCAGAACATGCGGCAGTCATTGTCACGCGAACGTAGTGCGGTACCACCGCGGCAGCTTCTTACCACCCGCTCGCTGAGTTCTGAGCTGGGGCGTGCACAATACAAATGCAACAAGAGACCTTATCCCGTTTCTATACCCCCCGATTCCCCTATCTTTTTGTCTCCGCCAAACCACCTTACACCGACGTCGCCTTCTGCCTCGATGCCAACGCCCGAGAAAGAATGCCGGAAGTTACATTTTTCGTTCAACCTACCATCCTTTACAGCAGGCGTTCCGGCATTTGCGGCGCCCCTGACCAACATCCAGTCTCCAGTTGTAAAACGAGCGCAGTGGGAAGTCGTAGTCAGGTCAGGGTTGATCGCGTTCGTCATCACAGGCACCATTGTCGGGGTAATCATCGGCGTCGTCCCATGAGCCCGCGGCGTTGTGTTGGGCAGGAAACCAGGCTATGCGTAACACGCGGTGTGCCCTCTTGGCGGGCTGTTATTTCTGTCCTCTTTTTTTCTTGGGTTTTTCCTCGCAACGTGTACTTTTGTAGTCAACAGCATGTGCGTGCCACATAAGCTCGACTGTCGCAATTGTGATCTGTAGCCCTTCCCCCCCAAGGTCCCTCGTGCTTCATGCACACCACGAGTGCAGTGCCTTGCGGCCTTCTCTCACGACCTTCACGTTTTTACACTTATCCCCTCGGCGGACATTAGCGAGCATTCGTTCTCTTCTCCCTCCCCTCCCGCATAGACCACATTGTCCCTCTCCTTGCGGCTTCGCGCACCATCGCCGAAATTACTATACTAAATCTTAGGAATGTTAGTAAGTACGTGTATTCAACTTGTGCCAATTTTAATTGTCTTCCTCCGGCATGTGGTAACTTGACTGTGTACCAACTGCGCACCCGGCGGCCCTGCAGTGCAACAGAGCCAGCGCTGGAATGACAATCTGAGGGTCTGTTCAAGTGGCGCGGCACATTTTGCAGGATCCCTCTAACTCCGGATTGCTGATGTCAGCCGTGGAAACAAAAAGACCACTTGCAGGCACAAGTTTCGAATGCATCGCGATAATTTTACAGTGAATGGTATTCAAGCCATCCAAACTACCAGTGTATAGTAAATGATGCCAAGGATTGTTGGTTTACGCGGAAGAGTCACAGAACATTAGAAGAAGTCGGGAAATCAGTGGGACGTTACGTTCGGCCCTTGTGGCAGATCTCAGATTCATGAAATCCGAGGGATGCGCGATCGAGACCCAACGTCGTCCGTTCATGCGTCGCCCCCAGTCCGAATTTTATCATGATCCCCTGTCCCAGTTGCTAGCCAGACGTCAAGATGCGGCAAATATTCTCCGTTATTTGCGAGATACAACGGAAATATACATATCCGGCGGTCGGAGCTATTAGAGAGTTACCGCACTTTCTTCCTTGTGTATCTCTACCCCAGGGGGAGCGCCCAATGCTTCAACGACAAGTCTTTGTCAGTCGCCTGCCCAATTACAAAAATCAAGAACACTCACCTTCTTTGATAGCACCGTAGAGCAAAAATTGGCCAGATACCAAACCGGCAGTCATGACCATCCTCGGTCCTAAGCCTGCAAAGAGACCGCGGGGCCCCGCCTGCCGTGCAAGGACGTGAAGACGGTGGAGCATGGAACCACTCGGACCGTGTCCTTTGTTGATTTGGCTGAGAAGCGTGTCGGCAGGCTGGTGGACATCGGCGACCAAACATGACCCAACAGGTGGTAGGTGAAAGGAAGTTCAATCAACTATCTACCTCTGATGGTAGCTGGGAAGGAACATACGTGACTCAGTATAGCGGCCGCGAATCCGGCAATGACACCACTTCCTAATTGAATGCTGAATTTCTTGGCGGGTGTGAGGTTGCACCGGGTCTCATAAGACATGCTGCGGAAGGCGAGCTCGTGGCAAAGTTCGTTAACCGTGAATTGGCCAATTGCATAGGGGATCTGCTTGAAGAGGATCGGTACGAAACCAGCGTACAACTCCCGAATGCCGCCTTCTCGAGCCAGTCTAGTGAATCCGGTAATGAGGCCAGACGCATAGCCGCGTTCCGAGACGAGTCGTATTCTAGTAGCCTCCAAGGGTGTAAGGAAGATATCTGCAAAGAACCTTTAACGATCCACAATAAAGTGAGCTGGGACAAATTTTCCACTTCGACCGAAACAGGTGCTTACTCTGCAACGCTAGCAGATCCAAGATATATGGCTGTCCGGTACTTGACTGCAGCGTCTGGGCTGCCTACCAATTCGACAGCTTTCCTCTTGCAGTACTCGTAGCCAGAAAACTTGGCACCGCCTTGAACGAAATAACCGACAGCGGTGGGTCCAAATCCAGTCAAGAGAGCCTTGGGTCCCTCGGTGGCGACGACGAGGCGGGCACCCGAGAGCATAGAGTGTTTGGCATACGCAGGATTGATTTGGATTCGTGTCTTTACGACGTCAATGGCTGCATGACATGGTTGAAGATGACGCACATAACTGAAGAACAAGAAAACTCACGAGTCATGGCACCATGTGTGATACTACATCAACTTGGTGACTTCGATGGGTAGAGGGACATGCTGTTATGACTTACGTGCAGCACAACGCACCTATAGATTAGGATACTACTCAGAATCCGCGTCACCACTCTGAGCACTATAGGGGCCTCACCTGCAAAGAAGAATGACGTGTAGTCTCTGGGCGAGAACTGGGGTAACTGTACAGCCAAAGATTGGACGTGTGCCTTTCGCTTTGCCATTGTCGCCGCTATCGTGAAGGTCAGTTGGCAGCAACGGCGAGCTATGTGGGGTATAATACGATGACGTCAGGTCAATGCCAGTTTTGTAGGGTCGGCTCAGACTCGGTTCGGTTCACACCCTGAAGAAGCTCTCCTACAAACTCCGATAGTATTAATGTGACTACTAGTGGTGATACAATCTCCCCTCGTCTCACCATGGCGAGTTACACTGAGATACTGCACTTCACTGCCTCTGAGGAGGTGATGTCCGGTCGAGCGAACCTTAACAGAGTTCGCGAGCTCCTATCCAAAGCGGAAGGATTGAACCAGTCAGTATCTTTGTTTGCATAGCGTAAAGTTTCGGATCGACTCCGTCTTTGGTTGATAAGATCGTACTTTGGACCAGAAACAGAAGATCCATCGGTTTTGTTCATAGTAAACGGTTAGTTCACTGCTCCAATCGTACCGATTTTGCATGACGAAGCCAATGCCTTCACCAGACTGGAAATCTAAGGATGCGCATACCAAGTTCCTGGATTCGCTCGAAGGCGCAGCTTTCAAACCAGCGTTGTCGCCCCTTTCTTCCTCTCCGATTGTCCACCACTTTGCTGAATTTGACGAAGTAAAGAGTCGTCTGCAAGCGCCTATTACCGAGTTCGTCACCCTCACGTTGAAGGCAGACAACAAAATGGAGGAGTTGAAGCCCTTGGTGCAGGATTTGCACGAGAAGCTGAAAGGCTCCAAGATGTTTTATGGATCTAGCTGGGCTCCGATTGCCAACGAGTCAAACATGTACCACGGGATCTTGGGCTGGGATACCGTCGAGGTGGGAACAGATCGAATGAAAAATTTACTGTTGCCAACCAACCTTTTTTTTCACGACAGGCACACTGGGATGCCGTCAAAGACGGCCCACCTAAAGCGGTCGTTGACGAATTCAAGAAAATCGCCAATTTGTGGCTGGTTCACGCTGCGTTGCAGTCGCTGACGGAGGACAAGTGAGTGGGGTGTGATGATACCAAAATGGAGGGGAAACTGTGCTGTATTATTTCATGTATGGGTCGATCTTCTTGCAGTATTGTGAATGTGAAGACTCGGGACTAGACCGTTCCAAGTGCCAGAGAGGTTTAGGGTAGTGACCGCCCTTCCGCCGCGATCAACCCAAATACATGTATGTGTTCGGCGAACAGTAACAAAGTTTTTCTCCGGGAGGCCGGCGGACTCCTGGCGGATTCCTAGCGACAAAGCGACTGCAACCTGGCCCGGGCATGTTGCATAAGTTGACAGGCTATCTTCATGCGTGATATGTAGCACCGAACAGCCTTGGACCCACGCATCGTAGATAGCAGGACGTGTCTTGAAGCGATATAAGGAATCGACATCAATTCACGCCTGATACGCCGGGTTACTAGCTGTATTGCGGCCTTGTGTCTGTGGATGGGCTGTGGTGTGTGGTGAGCACGCATTGTACACGAGTTGTTTGAACGTGTGTCGAATAAAACTCTGACGCGGCTTCTCAACTCCGCCCACCAGCCTCGTCGTCGTCGCCCCCATCGCTCCCTATTCAAAATGTCCGTTCATCTGATACCGAATAACGCCCTGGGCTTTAACAGTTCGTCGGGCTTGCATTTGATGTGAAAACAACCGCTCATTAACCTTCCTCAGGGCCCTTCACACAACTCGTCAAAAAGACCCTCACAATCACGAACAACAATGCCTTGCCGGTTGCTTTCAAGGTCAAGACTACTGCACCGAAGGTACGGGTGCTCTCCCTTTCCTTCGTCACCATATAACATCTTATGCCAGCTGTACTGTGTGAGGCCCAATTCCGGAAGGATCGAGCCTGGAGAGAGCATCGAAGTGTCAGGTTAGCGCGTGCCTCATGTCGCCTGAGCACGTCCACCAACTCCATTTTTCAGTGATGTTGCAGCCCATGAAGGAGGAGCCGCTCTTGTCGATCAAGTGCAAAGACAAGTTTTTGATCCAGAGCACTCTCATCACCCCGGAGAAGGAAACGAAGGACCTTCAGGATATCGTAAGTGCCATTCATTCGACCTTGTTTCCATCTCGAACGAGTCTTTCCCAGTGGAATGTCGCTGGTGGTACAGGGGAGGAGTGGAAAGTACATCAGCACAAGCTTCGTGTTGTATATCTCCCGGCGGAAGGGACTGTCGAGGAGGAAGACGAAGGTCACCCCCAGGACGGTCCATCTGCAATGATACAACCCGACAAGGTAGGATATCATTTCGTCATGCTATTGCCACGATGCTCAGGGACTCCCAGCAATACAACACAACCAAGGACAGCGTCAGTCATATGCCATCTATTCCTACATGGCCGCCCCAGCCACCCCAGGCAGATCCACCAGCGCCGGCGTCGCCACCCGCCCCGCTGCGCCCCATGACCCCGCCTGTCCGGGACGCAGACGCAACGTTCTTCCGTGCTGACTCTGGGGAACATTTCCAGCGTGCAAGGAGCAATGGTGTCGGCGTGGTGAATGTAAATCTCCACCAGCCGTCCCCGTCGTCGTCTCCTCCCATCAATGTTGCTCCTGTTCAGGTCAACCACGAACTCGAAGAGAAACTGCAGGAAGCAGAGTCAGAGATAAAGCGCCTCCGCGCACTCCTTTCCGCGGTCCCGGACCCCAGCTCGACTGCACCAGAATCTATTGCGCCGGAATCAATGGCGCCTTCCGACTTCCGACGAAGATACACGGTAGGGTCGGACGACGGGACAAGCACGTACTACGGAGAAACTGAGGTTGGGACGATAGTGGAACGCGACGCTGTCATACACCAGGATGGTGTACCACTACAGGTGGTTATCATCATAGCACTTGGCGTTTTTATCACGACCTATCTATTTTTCTAAGCAAGGGGTCTTCCCAGGCGCCTCGTGCTCGCTTTGTTCCGTTTCTGTCACGGCCCGTTCAGGCTCGTCATACGCGCAAGTTTTCGCTACCTACCAAATAACCGCACTGCGGATGATCCCCTTGCACTGCACACGCTTCATGGTGATTGGTGTGGGGTGCTAGCTGGTTGTCAGTGAAGATCTTTTTCTTTTTCTTTCTTTTTCAATAATATGTCCTCGGGGCTGCTGGTAGCGTAACTTCATGCGTAACCTCGTTCACTATATCTATGATGGCAATCCTTATGTTGTGCTAGTCTTGTGCATAGTTCAATTATATATTTTCGCACCACCAAGGACAACTGCTTACATCAGCCAATATATGTTATGAAGTCACGTGGCCATAATATGGCTTTCTTGTCGCCCCCAACTTGCAATGATTTCGAGGGCTCTCCGTTGTCCCAGGCGCACTCCCGCAGTCTCGTATTCCCTAGTCTTAGCTTGTGGCAATCATAACCAGAGTTTTCCCGGAAACTCACAGTCTTCTGGTCGAACTGCGTCGTTCGGGTTCAAGACGGTGCCCGAGGAAAGCAAGGAATCCCTTGTCAAGGACGTATTCGACAGCGTCGCGTCTAAATATGATTTAATGAACGATGCCACTTCGCTCGGCGTGCATAGACTCTGGAAAGACACGTTTGTCGACTCTCTGAAACCAGGTCGTAAGGGCCCAATGCGGTGCATCGACGTAGCCGGAGGAACCGGCGACATTGCTCTTCGCATCCTCGACTACGCACGGGAAAAATACGCGGACAGAGAGACTACTGTTGAAGTAGCCGACATAAATGCGCAGATGCTCGCAGAGGGGGTCAAGCGATTCAAAAAGACGATGTACTACTATAGTAAGTTTCTATACTGGTGCCTCGGTAGTCTTCGTAATGGGCCTGTAGCTCCACAGGTATCTTTCCACGAGGCCAATGCGCAGGAGCTGTCTCCATCGCAGTTCAAGGATGATACGTATGATCTCTACACCATCGCGTTCGGTATTCGCAATTGTACCTCTATTCCAGCAGTGCTGAAAGAAGCATATCGTGTTCTTAAGCCGGGGGCTACCTTTGCATGCCTGGAGTTCAGTAGAGTGAATAACCCATTGTTGAACGTGTAAGTTTGTCCAGTGAATTCGGGCGCGTCGAGATGAGACTGCTAACGTGGGTTGTGGAACAGACTATATGACCAATACTCCTTCAGCGTGATACCCCTATTAGGGACAATCCTCGCCGGCGACAGGGACTCCTATCAGTACTTGGTGGAGTCGATACGAAAGTTCCCAGGTCAGCCTGAGTTCGCGCAAATGATAAGAGATGCCGGGTTTGCTACTGGCGGAGATCACGATGGTGGTGCATGGATGGACTTGTGGGGAGGTATAGCTTCCATTCACACAGGTGTCAAAGTCTAGAATATATATCATGTGAACTCAATTTATTCCCTCAGTTTGATTTTTTATGCTCCTAACAGCTCAGAGAGCCTGTGGTGCTGAGATGAACAATACTAAGCACAGTGACCATTACAATATGGTTAGCAGAGTTTAGACCAGGTTTGAAGGTAGTTGAAAATGTAAAGATGGAATTTGAAGTTTAGATTGATGTTGGGGTGATTGCAAGACTTGAAGTGTTGTCAATAGGAAAAATATTGGCTAAAACTTCAAATTGCTTAATACTGTGTGGCTACATTCTGAATGTCAGTTTAAATAAGATGTATACTCTTGGAAACAATGAATGTGCAAACATGGGGTGTTGGCTTCATGTCAAGTCCAGGCCTACTCTGACCAACTCTGACACTCAACAAGGTCTGGGGAGGGGTATGGAAGCAAGTCTGACACAGCTGAATGGAACTCTGACTAGTGGAGGATTGACAGGGATGAAGTCTGCTGAGGCAGAAGTGGAATGGAGTGAGGGCATTGGGTTTAGCTTGTGCACTACCCCCTTGCATGATCTCAGCCCTCATATTTCAGAGGAAGAGACCAGTTGAAAGTTCAGAGATAACTCTGACAGACAGAAGATGGAGCAGATACAGAGTAGGAACTTTGGTGATATTCATACTGAGGAACAACAGAGTACTGTACATGCTTTTAAATTACTATGGAGGTACAGTAACCAGAATCAGAACTGACATATGGAGGCTTGTAAATTTTCAACTAAAAACTTCCTGGACAATGAATGAAGGGTAGATGGAAAACATATGGCAGGGAACACAGAACAGACCAGAAAGAAAACAGTCTAGGTCCTAAACCATGAGGTGCACACACTGTGGAGTACCTGACTGCACAGTGTAAGGAAATCCAAGTGGCTGTGTAACACAAGCTAGCTGGTTTAGATAACAACAATAAAGTGAAGGGAATGAATTGCTTGTCCCAAGGGATTCTGAACTGTTGAAACTAAAAGGTGGGACTCAGTGCTTTATAGTGGTAGTGTTTTGTGGCATGCACAGTGTGTTCTGTGGTATAGTACTGGTAATGCAAGCAGTGTGAGCAGTGTATGTATGTAGTTTGTGTGTGGTGGCTTGTAAGGTGGATAATGTAGACAAAGTGAAAAGAAACTCATAGTGACCTTCTGAGTGCTGAAAGGTATCATTCTGTACCCAAGTACAGGGCTTTATAGTCTGGGAAAACCCAGAACCTAAGTAAGACAAGGGACAGGTAAGAAGAAGATGTGCAACAGCATATATGCATAAGACAGGCTGAAACAGGGGCTGAGGGTATACTACTAGCATTAAGGGAAAAGAGACTGTGGTGTAAAGAAAGAGTCTGAGGCAAAGGAAGTGACTGGAATACAGTGGCTGCAGGTATAGTAGTGCACAAGAGTGAGCAAGGGCATGGGAAGGTAGCAGATGAGGCAGGAAGGTAGCACATGGACAGTGGTGAGTGCAAGCAGTCTGGAGACATAATGGTAGTCACAGAAGGGTCAGCAATAGGGGCTTACATGTCTAGGGAATGTGGATTCCTCACAATGGTGTCAAGGAGAAGGCTGAAGACTGGTACCAAGTCCAACAGTAGGCAGAGTGGAGGAGACTCATAAATGGTAGAGGGTGGGTGGGTTGGTGTGGAGTGAGTGAATGACTGGTGGAGTAGTTTGTGGAGTGAGTGGGGACTTAGGATGAACACATGGTCATGACACTTCAGGTGGGAAATCTGCTCATACATAAAGTTTTTCCATTGCCTAAATGACAGGCTATGTTTACAATATCACCAAACAAAAAGACCATCATTTTTTGATGAAGTTTGAAAATAAAAAAAAGTTGTGTACAATCTTGAAGTATAATCTGCAGATGATACTAATTGCCTGACAATCACCTCATGATTGCCCAGTCATCCCTTGTCCATCATGCAAACAGTGCATGTCCAGTAAATGTGCCAAGTCCATCTGAGTCATGTGACCTGGGGTCACTACATGGAGTTAAATTTGAGTAATACATATGATACAGTGACTCAAAAAACTATCTGGATGTTTGCCACTTTTTCAAAGATTGGATTGTAACTCAGTCCATATTAATCCATAAATCATGCAAAAATAAGGGTAGATAGCCATAAGCCATGAGACCATGTATGCCAAATTTTGTCATGATCATGTGACTTGGGGATGCACAATTAAATTCACAATGCCAAATATGGACTGAGTTACAAGCCAATCTTTGAAACATCCAGACAGTTTTTTGAGTCACTCTATCATATGTATTACTCAAATTTGACTCTGTGTAGTGACCCCAGGTTACATGACTCAGAGGGACTTGGCACATTTGCTGGACATGCACTGTTTGCATGATGAACAAGGAATGACTGGGCAATCATGAGGTGATTGTCAGGCAATTAGTATCATCTGCAGATTATACTTCAAGATCATATGCACCATTTTATTTTATTTTCAAACTGTATTCAAATAACAATGGGTATAAATCCAATACTTTGTGTAGCCACCCTTGGCCCTAAGCACTGCTGCAACCCTCTTGGGCATACTATTGATCAAAGTAAGGCAACTTCCCTGGGAATTTGTTTCCATTCCTCTTCAATCCTCCCCCACAGCTCCTCTATACCCTTTTGGGGTTCAGGGTAGGTTCCTAACCTTATCTTCAGGTGATTTCAGAGATGTTCAATGGGGCTGAGATTTGGTGACTGTGCAGGTCAGTCTAGAATCTCAACACCATGGTCCTTGAACAATTTCTTGGCCAATTTGGATGTATGCTTGGGGTCCCCTATGGCATAAAATCTGCACATTTATTTTTTTGCAGCCACACAGCCACACTACTGTGCCCATTCAACTGCATCATTACCTTTTGCAGCCACACTGCCACACCACCATGCCCATTTGACCATGTCATTACCTTTTGCAGCCACACTGCCACACCACCATGCACATTTGACCATGTTTTTATGTGTTGCAGCCATGTGATTGCACTGCCACACTGACTTGATTGCATCACTGTTACCTTGCACAGCTACACTACCATATTATTGTATAATATATAGATGATATTTCCTTTGTAAACTCAACTACTACACCATGTCCAATTACATTACCAGTGCCACACAGTGCAGAAAAATATTTCCAGGGTTTAACACAGGGAGGAGGCAATTGTGCCACTACACTTGGAGCACCCCATCCCAGCCTATGAACTTTTGATATGTTGTAGGCACACATGGCCCCTTTAAAGGGACATAATAACTAGATAGATATATCCTGTAGTGACCGGTAGACTTTTGCTTCTGCATTTCCTAGTTGCCTATATATATCCACCCTCTGGTTAAGGTTACATTTTAGGGATGCTTAGTCATCTCACACTTCCTTTTTGCTTATCTTTCATGCTTACATGATACTTAGTAAGGCTGTGCCTTGCTGACATTGCATGTTTGCATTTGTCCAATAGCATAGTTTTCTCTTTTATTTACTTCTTTCTCGAGTGTTCTCTTGTGGCAGTACATACAGAAAGTAAGGCAGTATATAAGTCCTGTCATTTGTCATAGCCAGTTCCTCTAATCTAGTTTGTTTTGAGCTTGGTACTCAATCAATGGGTTCCACTCCCACACTCTCTGGTTTGAAGTGATAGCTGAGAAGACTCCTGTCTTTAATTGCTTCACTTGAACTAGATTACAACTTCTCCCCTATCCCTTCATACCTGGCACTGAGGGTCAATGGCAGTATGATACTTGTAGTGGGCAGTTCCACTTGTAGATTCTTTTTGCCTCCATCAGTGTGACTGAGAGCACCCTAGCAATGAAGCCAGTTGGGCAGGCATCTTAGGGAGTTTTACTTCCACATATATACACCATCCTGAGGTCAAGCTCAGTGTATGCAGGGTGACACTTGATCAAGAGGGCCCACAAGGTCCAAAGCAGCTGAGCCATATATAGTCATAGTTCCCACATGGCAGCAGAGGTAGACCAGTAGTCAATGTTCCTGCACCCACTGTAGTTTGCATAGTGTGCCAGACTGGTCCCTCCCTATTGCTAGGAGGTTGATCAGGCATGCAACAGTGAACAGACTACATGTTCAGTGGTCTTGAACACCATCAGTGAGTAGTACACCTACATTACCTTTGCTCTACCACCATTCCTGCCATCAAGAAAGAAGAGGTTGAGCTTTGTCTCCATCTTAGGTTTCTCCCCTACAAAAGAGAACTTTCTACTCCATGCCTTTTGCACTCACTTTCCCCACTCACCCCACTCCCTCTTCCTCCTCTCAAGCTCTTCTGTGAGGTAACTCTGGAGCTTGTTTACCCTTCTCTGTTGCCCTCCCCTGCCCTGAATGAACTTGGGTTCATCTTCAATACTCCCTACAATATTTGGAACTGTTGTTCCATCCACTGCCCCCTTCACCACCTGGTCCTGCTAACCAGCAGAAATGGACCCCAACCAGCCCCAGCCCCAGCCTGCTGATTATGCCATGGTACAGGCAATGGCAGCAGTGATGGTGCAAGCCATGCAACAGTATATGCCAGCACCAGCCCTGGTGCAAACAAACAACTTTGACTCCACAAAGAGGGGTGTTGCTAAGCCCAGAACCTTCAATGGGTCTGTGGCAAAATACAAGGAGTGGGTCATCAAAATGAGGGCCTTCTGCAAAGCAGCTGTCCACCACTATACAAGCCAGGACTGCATGGCTTTCTGGACCCAGATGACTGGTCTGGTTGCTGGCAACTATGCTCATGCCAAGTTGGACTTCCACTTGGCAAATGGAAACTGGCCAAGCATCAATGAGGTGGTGGCTGACCTCAACTCCCACTTCTGGCCCATGAACAATGGGGATTGGGCCCAGAAGAAGATGCAGAAAGTGAGGCAGGGACAGTCTCAGATGGATGCCTTCTTGGCAGTGTTTGATAGTTGGAAGCTAATGGCAAGCACTTCTGATGACTTGGCTATCCTGTGCCTCAAACAGGCAATAAACCCAGAGGTGCTATGGCTCATGCACCATCTTGGGAGAAGAAAAGACACATACAAGGAGTATGTAACTGAGCTCCAGTTGGTGGCCAGAAATTTTGAAAACCACTGGTACATGATGGCCTCCTCTTTGAGGGTATGGCCACAAAATCAGCCTCATGGCTTCTCTGCCACAGGAA